GCCCCCCCGGCAGGCTGTCGGCGGCTGCGGCCGCCACAAGCTGCACGCCGGCGCCCTGTGATGGTGTCCCCCGCTGCCCCGTCTGCCCTGCCCTACAGGCTCAACCACAAGGGCAATGCCAGCACCCGCTTCATGTGAGCGCCTGCTGCTGCTGGATGGCTGCCGTCCTGGGCGGCGCCCAGCCGGCAGCCGCCTGCCTGGTGCAGCACAGCTGCTGGGAGGGCGGCTGGTCTGGCCTGGGCTGGCTGGCTGGCTGGCTGCCTGCAAGCTTAGGTGCTGCGCGCCGCTGCTCCTGTGCCGCGCTGGCTCAACCTGCGCGGCCTATGCAACGCGCCTGTCCTGGCGCAGGGACAAGACTGCGCGCTTCGTGTCGCGCGTCGCAGACATCGCCGGCGACGTGAGCGGGGCCTGTTTGGCGGCTGTTGCCTGCCTGCCGCCAATCAGCCGCTTGCGCCTGGCGCTTGCCTGGGCGCCGCTTGCTTGGTAGCTTGGGCGGCGCGCCGGCGGCGGGTTGCAGGCTGCTGGCCCCAGCCTCCCCCCGGCCTTCTCGCCGACCTGGCCCCCTGTCCTGCCCCTGCCTCCAGCTTGCCTGCCTGCCTGATGGTCCCTCCTGGTTGCCTGCCTGCCTGCCTGCCTGCCTGGTCCCTGCTGCCTGCCTGCAGTACGTGATACTGGAGCGGGCGCTGCCCATCAGCATCACTCTGGGCATGGCACCAAGTGAGTGGCGGCAGTCGCATCACTGCCAACAACCCTGCCTGTACTTTCTCGTACCGCGGCGGGAGTCGGAAGGGCAGATTGCGCGAGGCGCAGATTCCGGGGGACGCTGGAGGACCCAAGGGCCCCTGCCGCTCTGAGCGTGCTGCCCGCCGTGCCTCCCCTCCTCCCCACCTGGCCCTCGCCTGCAGAGCTCCTGCGCACGCACGGCTCGGTGTGGGATGTGGGAGTGGAGGGGTTCACGATGGAGGTACCGCCTGTTGTGCCGCTTGCACTGTACTGCATGTACCGCCAATGCACTGCCTGCATTCCACAGCGTGCGCTGCCTGCGCCTTGGGCTGGCGGAGCATGCCAGCCCACCACAACCACAACCACCTGCCTCACACACACCAGTGCACCCTCCGCCCACACACTCCCTCCTTCCAACCGAGGAGCCCCCTCGCATGCCTCCCCTGCCCCTGGCGCAGTTCAAGTTCGAGCCCTATGGCGGCCACCATATGGTGAGCGCCTGCCTCTCTGCTGGCACCCTGCACCCCTCAGCCTCACAGTAGCCTTGCCTGTCCGGGGCGGCTTGCCTGCTTTCTGGCCCGCTGCGGCCCTGCCGCCCCTGCTGCTCCGTTGCGCGGCATGCCTTCACCCCCTGACTGCCACCACGCTGCCTATGCCTCCCCCGGCCCCTGCAGGAGCAAGGCTGGAGCGGCGTGGAGCTCACCCGAGTTGAGGACTCCTGGGTGCGCCTCCCTCCAGCCACCTGCGTCACTGCTGGCAGCTGCAGCAAGTTGTCTGCGTGGCCCGCTGCGAGGACCAGCCGGCGGCAGCAGCCGCCTGCTCCTCCCCTGCCCAGCGCTGGCCGTTCCCGCGAGCACGGGCTGCCAGCAAGGGGCAATGCCAAGCCGCAGCCCACAAACCACGCGTTGCCATCTCCACGCTTGCGCTTCTCACGCTGTGCCGCCGCCGCTGCTGCGCTGCCGCCGCCTCTGCCGCCGCTGCAGGTGCGCGACATGCGCTTCATCAATTGCGACAACGGGGTGCTGGTGGCGGGGTCGGACCGCGTGACGGTGCGGGGCTTTGAGGTGGCAGTGTCGCGGAACCGCGGCGGCGGGCCCGAGAACGGCGAGGGCCACTGGGGCGCGCGCGTGGGTGAGCAGGCCGCCCCTGCCGCTTTTCAGGGGTCGCCTAGCCAGCCAGCCAGCCGGCTCTGCCCTGCTTGCATGTTGCCCTGCTTGCCTGTTGCCTCGTGCTCGACAGCCGCAGCCGCAGCTCACTCCCAGAGCTTCTGTGCTCACCACCTGCCCCTGCCTTCCCTTTCCTCCCGCCCCCTCCCCTCCCTCTCCCCTACCTGCTCCTACCCCTCCCCTCCTTTCCTCCCCTGCCAGGCACCTCCACTGACGTGCTGGTGTCGGACTGGGTGGTGCTACCGCGCTTCATGCACAGCGTGGGCGCCGACACCCTCGCCCACTACTCCGTCTTTGAGAACGGGCGCACCCGCGACGGCGTGATGGAGCTGCACAGGTGGGGCCGGTGTGGGGGCGTGTATTGGTGGTGGCCTATGGGCGCAGTGCAGGGCAGCATGATGAGGTGTGCCAGCTGGCGCTGCCTGTGCCGGAAGCAGCTGCGGGCGCGCCTGTCCTGCCAGCCCGCTCTCCCGCTCCCTCTTGACCTCCCGCTGCTGCCGCTGCTGCACCTCCGCCCTGCAGGGCCCTGGCCGCCCAGATACTATTCACAGACATCCACCTTGGCGTGGGGCGGGAGGGCCTCTACTCGGGCGGACCCCCCATCTCTGGCCCCAACACCGGCGCCTGGACAGTGTTTTGGAACCTGCGCAGCAACAGTGGCGTGCACCCGCTGCCGGTTCACAACAAGGGGCTGCCGGGGGCGTGCACCTTTGGGCCCGACATGAGCCTCATAGGCATGACCTTCAAAGCGATGAAGGACAAGCAGGGCAGGCCCTACAAGCTCTGCCCCGACTGGTTCTACCAGCCCGGAGACATCTCCCCACCCAACCTCTTCCGCGCACAGCTGCAGCGCCGGCGCTGGGCCGCCGCCGACGCCAGGGCGGCCCTTGCCGAGGCAGGCGCCGCAGAGGCGGCGGCCTCTGCCGCGCTGGCAGCCACCGAAGCCGAAGCAGCCGCGGAGACGGCGGCAGTGGCGGCGCAGGAGGCGGCCGAGGAGGCGGCCGCTCCCGGCCTGGCGCCGGGCGCGGCGGCGGCGTCTGCTGAAGCGCCAGGGCCTGAGCCAACGGCGTGGAGGGCGGCAGCAGCGGCGGCCTGGGACTCTGATGATTCAGAGGAAGATGAGGTGGCGGTGGGGAAGGAGGAGGAGGAGGAGGAGTTTGACGCAGCCAGCACCGGCGACCAGCCAGTCGCGGCAGCGGATGCCGGTGTGCAGGCGCAGCTCGCAGCAGGCGCGCTGAATACCACAGCGGTGGCGGCGGCAGCGGCAGCGAGGCCAGCGCCGGCTGCCAGCACGCCTCCAGCTCCTGCTGCGGTGGCAAGAGCAGCGGCAGCGGCAGCAGGAGCGCAACCAGCAGCTGCTGCTTCCGCAGGCTCCACTGCAACAGCCAAGGCAGCAGCGAAGCTTGGAGGAGCCGCCCATGCAGCAGCAGGCCGGCAGGCAGGACGAGGTGCAGCAGGCAGGCCTGGCGCAGGCGCCACGGCAGCGGCCGCAAGCGACGAGGCCGCCCGCAGCAGAGCTGGGGCCAGCGCGCAGGCAGCAGCAGCGGCCCAAGCGGCCAAAGTAGCCTCCGTCGCAACGGGAGAGGTGGCCCTGGTGGAGGGTGAGGGTGCTGCGACCAAGGATGCGGCGGCTGAAGATGCAGAGGAGTGAGGTACCCTCCAGCCAGAGAGAAACGGGAGTACCCACGTCAGAGACCTAGGCAGACAGTGATGGCATTTGCGCCACCAGCAGCCTAGTTGACACAACAACAAGAGCAGAAAATTTTCAGTTTTGCACTCAACCTACTGTCCCGTCCAGTATTGACCCTTGCTGTGCCCCCGCCCCTTGTGCCCGGCGGCTGGACAGTCGGCAGCCTCTCCAACCCCATAAATGCTTGATTTCGACTCGCCTACTGTCCAGAACTGTTGTTTCAATCGCATTCATTCTTCCCCAAAGCATGCATGGTTGCTTTGGATGGCCTGTAATCGCACCTTTGCAGTGCGGCAGAGCTGGCGCCGCCGCCCTCATCTTGGTGGGGTGCATGGTGCATGCGCCATATGCACGGCGCGACGTGTTCCTCGCTGCTCAGACTGCTTGCCCTGGCTCGAGCAAGGGCTCGGGCAACGGCAAATGCGGCCTAGAATCGCTGCTGCTGGCAGCCGCCCTTCTTTCGCGCCGCGCACCCTTATTGCCGTTTCCAGCCTCACGTGAGTATGCATGGCAACCGCAACAACAACACGCTGCGAACTCTTCGGCTTGTCGGGCACCACAGACCCTGCTGCCGCATTGCTGCAGTGCGCCACCCCAACGGCTGCTGGAGAAGCCACAGCGAACCGAGATCGCCGTGCCCCAGTTGCGACCGCCCCCAGTTTGGCGGGCCCAGCAGCCGCCGCTCCCGCCGCCCGCCGCCACAAAGCCCGCCGGCCCTATGCCACTGCCGCGAGGCCCTCCGGCGGGATGCAAAGTCACTCTGGCGGTGGTGGGCGACGTGCACAGCCAGTGGGACGCAGACGAGTGAGTCTGCAGCTTGAATCCCGCAGCGGTTAGGTGCCACGTCCATATGCACCCATGCATGGGAGCCACCCCCGTGTGCGACTTGTATGTGCCCTATGCGTCCCGACCTGCCGCTGCCCCCGCGGCCCTGCCCCCGCATGGCTGCAGCGAGGCGGCCCTGGACTCCCTCGGCGCCGACGTGGCGGTGTTTGTGGGCGATTTCGGGGAGGAGGATGTGCAGGTGTGTGTCCGCCTGCCATCTGCAGGCTGTCATCTGCAGGCTTTCGACTGTCACAGGACCAGCGGCTGGCACAGAGACCACCGCCGGAAGCCGGCCTGGGCCTGGCCGCCGGGCTGCTGACCCGTAGCCAGCGGCTGCCTGCGAGCCGTGGGTCGATTCACCTGCCTGCCCGCCTGATGCTGTCCTGCCCCTGTAGATGATCCGCCGCATCGCCGCGCTGCGCCACCCCAAGGCCGTGATGCTAGGCAACCATGACGCCTGGTGGGGCATCGGCAGAGGGAGCTGTGCCTATCTGCGGGCCCGCTCCTGACGCTGCAGCCGTCAGCTGCGGCTGCCTGCTGCTGCCGCCACACCCGCCTCCTACTGCTGCTGCGGCTGCCACATGTCCGACATCAGCTGCTCCTGCTGCCGCTGCCCCCACGCCCGGCCCGCAGGTTCAGCCTGACGCCCGGCGGGCGGCGGCGCTACGCTCGGGCCATGCTCAAAAGCAGCAGCCTGGCAGCCAGGGAGGAGTTCACAGAAGGTGCTGGGAAGCTGGCCGTACCGCATGTACAAGAGCTCTGGCCTGGGCCTGCCAAGCTCACCTGCTGCAGCAAAGGCAGCCAGGCCAGGCAGGCGTGCCAGGAGCGCCGCCCTCTCCGCCTCCCTGCACTGCCAGCCTTGCGCCGCCCCATTTAACAACCAGCTGCATCCCTGCTTGCCCTCCCTACCCTAACCTGTGCGCAGGCGGCAGTACCCCCGCCATCGCGGCGCAGCTGGCGGCCCTGGGCGGCGAGCACATCGGGTACAGCAGCAAGCGGTTCCCTGGGCTGGGCCTGACGCTGCTGGGGGCGCGCCCCTTCTCCAAGGGAGGCAAGCAGTGGAGCGACGTGGCGGGTGGGTGGGCCTGGTGCCTGGGGCTCTGCCACGCCCCTGCTGCGCGGGTGCTTGGCCCCCCCCGGCGCTAGCTGCGCTCGCGAGTACCGCCTGCATGTACCGCATGCATGTACCGCCGCCGCAGACTTCTACGCCGAGCACTACGGCGTGGGCGGCCACCGCGACAGCGCCCTGCGCCTGCTGGACCGCGCTCTGGCGGCTGAGGAGGGCGACTGCAAGGTGGGGCGGGGCTGTGCCACTGTTACCGTATTGTGTGTGGTACCGCAGGGTATGTCACCTAGCCTGTGTCACCTGTCTGTCTGTCTTTTCTGAGTGGTGGTGGTGGTGGTAGTGGTGGCGGTGGCGGCAAGAAGGGGTGGAGCCCTGCCACGCAGCTGCCTCCGCAGTGCCGCGTCTTACACACCACGCTGCGCTGCTCTGCTTTGGTTTGCTAGCTGGCCTCGTGGGTTTCACCACATCCCAACACCTCGCCGAGTCTCACACACAGTGCTGGCTGGCTGGCTGCCTGCCTGGCTGGCGCGCCGCGCAGGTGGTGGTGGCGCACAACGGGCCCGCGGGGCTGGGCGGGCGGCGGCACAGCATCTGCGGCGTGGACTGGACGGAGCCGGAGGCCGACTTTGGGGACCCCGACCTGCAGGTGGGTAGGGCGTGTGTGGGTGTGGTGTGGTGATAGAGACAGGGCCGAAGCCGCTGGGCGGCACAGGAGCTTGCGCTCACCGCGCTGCATCCCTCGCCCTGCCCTCCCGCGCCCCCCGCCTGCCTCCCGCAGGAGGGTCTGGACATGATGTGCTGCCAGGGGGTGCACACCCCGCTGGTCCTCTTTGGCCACATGCACAGCCAGCTGTCAGGTGGGGTGGAGCGGCTGGGATACTTTGACGGCGAGGGTGCTGGCCACTGCCTTGTGCACCAAGGTTGCTGCCAGCCTGGACACGCCTGGCTGCGTGCCCCACCCTCCTTCCCACTGCTGCCGCGAGCTGCTGCCGGCTGCGTCCCCACGCCGGCGGGTACTGCCTATACCGCAGGCGGAGGCGACCGCAACATGGTTGAGGTGGACCCCCGCAGCGGTACGGTATACCTCAACGCAGCAGCGGTACCGCGGATACGCAACCTTCCGGTGCCGCCGGCCGGCGGCGCGCCTGGCGGCCTACTCGCATGCGAGCCGGGCGGCGGCGGCGGCATCGGCGACGGCAGCGGCGAGAAGCTGAGGGGGCACCACTTCATGCTGGTGGAGCTGTGTGGCGGCGTGGTGATGGCGGCGCGAGACGTATGGGTGGGCGTGCAGCACGCTGCGCAGCAGGCAGCCGTGCCTGCAGCAGCAGCGGACGCCCACAGCAGCAGCGGCTGCGCCCAGGGAGACGGCGGCACGCGGTGCGTGGTGCTGCGGCAGCAGGAGCTTTTGCGGACGGCCTTCCCGCCGGCTGACCCCGAGCCGGCAGCCGCAGGCGCAGCAGCGCCGGCCGCATGGGCAGGCGAGGGCAGGGAGACGCGGCTGGAGGCGGCGGCGCGGCAGGCGGCGTTGGTGGACGAGAGCGGCTGCAGCTACGTGTGCTCCATATACAGAGCCCACACCCGCGAGTGGCAGCCGCTGGTGCTGCAGCTGCCGCGAGTGGCGGCGGCGCAGCAGGGGGTGTGACGGTGCCAGCGAGATCCTGAGGAGGCTGGCGCTCCCCACAGCTGTTGGCACTCCCATCTTCCGTTTTCCACCCTTGTGATTTCATTTCGATACTTGTTCTGCTTTGCTCCGCTTCTGCTTTCCGACTCCAATACTCCAACTTATGTTACAATTGCGTGCCGGGCAGCACAATTCGGACAGGTTTTGCTGCGGTGCAAGCCGGGGAGGAGTAGAGAACTGAGCGGCTTGCGAGGAAGTGCACAGCTTGAAGGGCCAGCGCAGGAGGTGGGGCCAGCCGCCAGCCGCCCGGCTTGCCTCCAGCAGCCTGCAGGGAGACAGAGGGTGAGCGGAGCAGCAAGCGCGTCAGCAAGCGTGCCAACACGCAGAGCTTGCGCCGGGTGGCGCAGGGGGGTGCGGGCAGCTCAGGGCGGGGCCTCATAGATCTTGGTGTTGTTGTGTCGTCAGTAAGGCGCGGCCGTGGCCGTGCTTTCAAGAGTAGCAAATATGTGTTTGCAATCACTGGCCACGCGCGCACGGCGAGCAGGTGCACGGATGCAGGGGGCAGGCATGTGTGGCAGCAGCAGCGGCAGCGGCAGCGGCGGCGACCACAACACCAGCAGGCCTCAGAGAGAAGATTAGGGTAAAGATCAGCGGGGGAGGGGCCGCTAACGCGGCTGCCCCCTCATTTGACACGCATGAATAGAGAAGTGATTCTCATCGCCGGCCAGGCTGGTGCAGGGGTGCTGGTGCAGGCAGGGGTGCTGGTGCAGGCAGGGGGGTGCAGGGGTGCAGAGGGGTGCCGCGGAGGGCGGCCCAGCGCTCGGTGCATTTGAAGGTGTGATATCAGCAAGGTTTGCTCAGAAGCAGAACTGGTTAAATGCTGTGTGGTTTCCTCATTGCGCTGTGGATGGATGGAAGGTGCAGAGCAGCGGGGGCGTGCATCGGGCGCTGGGAAGTGCCAGGCAGCTGACGTCGGCAAGAAGTGGCGTGCAGGCGGCCAGCTGGTGCAGCAAGCACACCTGGAAGACGGGCATGAGTCTCGTCGCAAGGGTGGGTTCATTCGCAAGGGTGCCGCCGCTGAGCTGCGGTCGCGGGGCTGCCCCCCGCGTGCCGCTAGCAGCCGTTTGGCTGCACCGCGGCACCGCCTGCTGCTGGCTGCTGCGCCTCCTCCTCCTCCTCCTCGTCATCGTCTGCATCCTCAAACCGGGCGGGGTCTTCTCCCACCAGCTGCGCAGGGAGGAGAGCGGGGAGGACAAGCAGGGAGGGAAGCGGGTGAGCGGCGGGCTCCACGCCAGGCGCTGCGGCCTCGCCGGCGCGATGCAGAGCAGGCCTTGCCACGGGAGCAGGGAGCACATTAGGGAGCAGCAGGAAGAAAGCGCGGCGCACCTCCTCGACGTCGCCCACGCCGATGGCAGCCGCCGCCGCCCCCGCCAGCACCTCGTCTTCATCATAGAAGCAGGCGCCTGTCTCCTCATCCTCCTCTGCAGGCGGGCGGGAGCAGGCAGAAAAGGGAGGGCAGGGACGGTGGGAGAGGGGAGCGAGGGGAAGGGGAAGGGGAGCAGCTCGAGCAGCAGCAGCAGGCAATGGGCGGGATCGGTGTGGGCAGGTGGTGTGCAAGCGCTCACCGCTGAAGTCTGGGTTGCGCTCCGCGCCGTCGCAAAAGGCCTGGAACATCGCCTCCACTGCGGCAGCGGGAGCAGCAGGAGGAGACGGCGGCGGCGGCATCACCATCAGGCCTGAGGCGCCACCCGGGGCAGCCGTGGCGCTGGCGGTGACACAGGTTGCACGCAGCACGTGGCTGCGCCTCCGCAAGGCCGGCTGCACGCATAGCAGCAGCAATCAAGGCACTGCAAGGGTTGGCTGCTGCCGCTGCCTCACGTTGGCTGGCGTCGGCGGGGATGAGGCGCAGCTCCGGCAGCAGCTCTTCTCCCTCCTCCTCCTCCTCCCCGCTGCTGCCGCCACCAGCGCCGCCGCCCAGGCCGCCTTCCTCGTCGCCGGCATCGAGCTGGATGTAGAGGCAGGGGCGGTGTGAGGACTCCTCGTCGGTGGCGACGGCGTGCATGCTGACGGCGGGGAACTCGCAGCTGTAGCCCAGGGTCGGATCAGCGGCGCTGAGCCAGACGATGCGCCTGCGGAGGATGTGGGGCAGGCAGCAGGGCGTGTGAGGCCAGGGATAGAGGGTGGCATGCCAGATGGCGGGCCCACGGCGTATGCATGCGCGCTGCGCGGTGCCCGCCGCCGCAGCTACCGCGCCTGCGGCGCAGGCAGGATGCTCCGGCGGGCTAACAAGGCACGCACCACTCGGTGATGAACAGCGAGCCCTCGCCCTGGTCTGTAGAGGCGCCGATCACCAGCTGCAGCCGCTCAAACTTGTGTAGCACGCTCTCCTCGTCCTCTAGAAGCGGCCCACCATCGGCAGAGCGCTCAGCGACGGGCTGCAGCCCGATGCTCTCAGCCTGCTCAAGCATGGCCGCGCACTGGGCGTGGGTTGGGGTGGCGGCAATCGGTGAGATGCCTCTGGCGACGAATGTTGGGCTCCTGCTCCCTGGTACACATGAACACAGTGTACCTCCCTCGGCCGGTGACTACTCGCAGGCGGGGCCGATCATCGGCCGCTGTTGCGCCCTGCCCCTCTGCCATCAAGCAACTGCAGCCAGCTTACCCGACGGGAACCCTCGATCGCCAGGCGATTGACCTCAGTCAGGCTTTTGGGGCCGCAGAGGGGCGCAGCAGCGGCAGCCATGCGCGGGGTGCAACGACTGGCCGGGTGGGTGCCTGGCGGGGCTTGGGTTTGCAGCCCTGGCAACGCGGCGCCTTCCCGCCGCCGCCGCTGCCTGCCGCCAGCTGGTGGCTCTCCCGCGCTGCACGCAGCTTTGACTCTCCACCGTCACTCGCCCTGCCTGCCCCTGCTGCCTGCAGCCTGTTGCGGCGGTCGGCAGCAGTGGAGGAGCTGCTTCCTAGCTGCAGCAGGGCGCTAAGCACAGAGGTGGGATGCTGGTTGGCCAGGGGAGGCAGCCCTTGGTGCCCTAGCAGCAGCAGCAGCCAGCCCAGGGCATACGGCCATCCGGCAGCACCTGCGGCTGTCGCACCGCTGCAGCAGCTTACAGCCTGCCTCCGGGGCCGCAAGCTGCTGCGGGCTGACAGCCGCAAGCATGCCACCGTGCAACACCGTGCCGGTGTTGCCGCGTGCTGGCACCCCTTGCCCTCATGTGTTCTGCCGTGCACCCCCACATGCCTACCAGCGCACACATGCACACGCACACACTCCACTCCACTTCCGCTGCAGGCCTACAACCCTGCCGTGTTTGTGGACAAGGACACAAAGGTCATCGTGCAAGGCTTCACAGGAAAGAACGGAACCTTCCACTCTGAGCAGGTGGGCGGGGAGCAGGTGTTTGGGGCAGGCGGTGTGGGTAGCGGTGGCTTGTGTGGATGTGGTGGGGGCAGGAGAATGACGCACCACTCGGTATGGCCGGCCCATGCATCTTGAGGGGCCCGGCCTGTGTGGCAGTCATGATGCGAAGCAGAGCTGTACCGCAAGCAACAATGGGCCGTGTTGATGTACTGCATGCCGGGCCGCAATGTACTGCCCCATGGTACCGCCTGCAGGCCATCCAGTACGGCACGCAGGTGGTGGGCGGCGTGAACCCCAAGAAGGGCGGTACCACACACCTGGGGCTCCCTGTCTTTGCCTCGGGTGCGCACCCGGCTGGCTGGCAGTTGGGGCGGTGGCGCACTCCGGCAGCTGCACGCACCGGTGCAGCGCTGGCGCGCGCTGCAACAGCTGGTGCAGGCTGCCCTCCACCGGCCGCTCCCTTTGGCGCTGCCTGACGCTGCCTGACGCGTTGCCCTGACCGGCCTGCCTGCCTGCCTGCCTGCCATGGCTGTGCTGCTGCAGTGAGGGAGGCCAAGGAGGCCACCGGCTGCCACGCCACCGCCATCTACGTGCCGCCGCCGGGTGCCGCTAAGGTGCGGCAGGCAGGCAGCCTGGCTGCTCGCTGCTCGCTGCCAGGGGCTGCCGCTGCGGTCTCGGGGGCATGGGCGGGGCCTGCTGTGCATCGGTTGCCCATACCCATCTCCTTAACCCCCCAACTCGCCTCCCGCCTCCGTCCCCAACCCTTCCACCTCCCCTCCACCCACCGTTAACCCCTCCACCCCCCATCCCTGCCCCCATCCCTGCCCCGCAGGCCATCCTGGAGGCTGTTGAGGCTGAGCTGGACCTGGTGGTGTGCATCACTGAGGCCATCCCGCAGCACGACATGGTGCGCTGGGCACGCTGGGACCGCGCTCGGACCACGCTGCGGGGTGTGCAGCGCACGGCTGCCGCGCCCGCACCGCCGGCGCCTGGTGCCGCGCACCACCTGCAGCCCGCCCACGGCGGCGATGGTGCTGCCTGGCTGCTCAGCCGCCGTGCCGCTGCCGCTGGCCACGGCGCTATGGTACTGCTGCCTACCGCAGCTGTACCGCTGCTGTACCGCCCACCCTGCCGCAGGTGCGCGTCAAGAAGGTGCTCAGCGAGCAGTCCAAGACGCGGCTCATCGGCCCCAACTGCCCCGGCATCATCAAGCCAGGTGGGCCGCGGCGCCGGCCGTTGACTGTTGACTGTTGACTGATAACTGCACCTGTGGCACAGCGTGTGCCCTCAGCCTGCTTCTGCGGTGCTGATTCACACAGCCACCACCGATCCGCATCCATGCCGCTAACCTCGCCCTCTGTCGCCCCCACCTGGCCGGCCTGGGCAGGGGAGTGCAAGATCGGCATCATGCCTGGCTACATCCACACGCCCGGCAAGATCGGCATCGTGTCGCGCTCGGGTGCGGCCCTGCATGCAGCGCCGACTGAAAGTGGTGGCACGCACGTGCCAGCCCGCAGCTGAGCCGGCGGCACCTTCACTGCTGGCGGCGTGCCTGCTCGGCTCCCTCGACTCGCTTCTCCTACCCGTGACGCTAGCGGACCAGTTGGCTGAGCCCAGTCCAGCCATCCCCAGCCTTTCTTTACAACCCCCATCACTCTTCTGGCTCCCTGCCTCGCTCCTCCTTCCAGGCACTCTCACATACGAGGCCGTGTTCCAGACCACCAACGAGGGGCTCGGGCAGAGCACGGTGGTGGGCATCGGCGGAGACCCCTTCAACGGTGGGCTGCGCAGGGTGGTGTGGCTGGTGGTGTGACTGGGTGGGTGGCGGGCGTCTGGTGCTGGCGGCATGTGGCGGCGGCGGGTTGGCTGCAGGTAGGTGTGGATGCAGCAGTGCTGCCGCTGTAGCTTCTGTCGCCGCGCGTGCTGGCGGGACAGAAGGCACAATGCCTCGCTCTGCTTCACACCCTATACACACACGCGCACACACAACACGCGACACCCGCATGCCCCCACCTGCTCCCCGCAGGCACCAACTTCGTGGACTGCCTGGAGCGGTTTGTGCTGGACCCGCAGACCGAGGGCATCATCATGATCGGTGGGCCGCCCAGCTGGCATCTGACCTGGCATGCGCTGAGCTGGCACGCGCTGAGCTGGCGGCCGCGACTCGAAAATCACACGCTGCGTGCGGGCCGGCTTGCTCCCCTCCCGCTGCCCTGCCCTGCCGCTGGCCGGACTGACACCCCCTGCCCTATGTTAACCCAACCCGCCTATGCCTCGCACCGCACCCTGCAGGCGAGATTGGCGGGTCTGCCGAGGAAGAGGCGGCAGAGTTCCTGATTGCCAGCGGCACCACCAAGCCCGTGGTGTCGTTCATCGCGGGGCTGACCGCGCCGCCGGGGCGCCGTATGGGCCACGCCGGTGCCATCATTTCGGGTGTGTGGCTCCTGCTGCTGCTGCTGGGGCTTGCGCTGGGGTGGATGGTTTTGCCGGGCTGGGAGGCTGGAGCGTTGCTTTTGCCAGGCGGCTCAGCGGGGTGCGGACCGCTGCTCGGGCGGGGGCTGGAGTGGGTGGGCTGCACCGGGCTGGTCTGGGAGGCACGCAGGCGGTGCAGGCCTGCCATCCCAGCGGGCAACGCTGCAGCAGCTGCTGCTGCTGCCGCCTGCTCCGCCGGTCCATGTGAGAGCGCTGCTGCGCCCCTCCCCTGCCTACCAACCCACCTCTCTGTTCCCGCAAACCACCCCACCCCGTCCCGCTGCAGGCGGCAAGGGTACCGCCCAGGACAAGATCAAGGCTCTGGAAGCTGCGGGCGTGACGGTCACCAACTCCCCCGCCCAGATGGGTGTCACCATGAAGCGAGTGATGCAAGAGCGGGGGCTGGCCTGATGAAGCGCAGGTTGCTGCGGGCCTGATGAAGGGACGGACGCCGCCACGTCAGCACGTGCCACATCACCGCACCGTCGCGGCCCGCGGCTGCCTGGGCGCGGCCCGAGCCGTGTGCCTGCCCCGGTACACCCGCTGTGCGGGGCCCTGCTGCATGAGACCCCCTCCCCCTACATACTGCGATGGCGGCTGCGGCCCAGCACCTACCACACACACCTTTTGTGCGCTGGCTGCACGCTCTACTGCTTCCTGCCGGGCACAGGCACTTGATGTGCATCGCCCTGTTGCTTTCTACCCAGCAGACTGATGCACCGCTCCTGCCGCAAGCTGCCATTCCATGGCAGGCGCCCGAGGCGCCCCGCCGCTGTCTGTTGCACCCGTGCTCCGCTGTACCATTCCTGACACACTGCCTGTTCCTTTTTGGCGGCACCAGCGCTGCTCTTTCAGTCGTGTGAACTTTACAGGTGCAAGCTGCTGGCCCTAGTTGTGTCGCGCATACACAGCAGGGAGCTCATGCCTGGCTTCCGGTGCTGCTGCTGGCCGGCGTGTGCTGCACGGGCGACTGCAGCGGCTGCTGCTGCCGTGGGTGCTCAGCAGCTTGGTCCTCGGCAGTGTCTGGCGCCGCCTGGGGAGCCTCCCACTCGGCTGGCATGGCCAGGGCAGCCAGATCCAGGGAGTGGGGCACAGCCTTCACGCGCTTCAGCCGCGGCTGGCCTGCCGCCGCTGCGCCAGCTGCGCGGCGCGAGGGGCCGGCCGCCGCCGGCTCCCCCGCCGCTGCCGCCGCCCGGACCTCCTCCTCTGCCACGACCTGGCGCTTTTTGTGGGTCGCAGCAGCAGCAGCAGTGGCAGGCCCAGGCACGCTCCAGGCCGGCGCTGGCTTGGTGGTGCTGCCGCCCTCCCGGCGCTGCTTGGTCTTCTGCTTGCCAGCGGCCACCAGCCTCTGCTTGCCGCCCATCCAGGCGAGCATGTTTGAGAGGTTCAGGGTTGCACACAAATCAAAATTTAAAACCGTCAGTATGACTGTCCGGCATGAGAATGAGATAGAAAGTATCGATTGAAAGCAAAACCTCCGCCATTACGCAGTCTCTGGGCTGCTGTTTCGCTCAGGGCTCGCCATGCTGCTTGCACGTGCAGTGCTGGTCTTGCTGCTGGCGGCGCAGGCCGTGCAGGGCCACACCCAGCCCCAGTCCGAACAGGGCCTGGAGGCTGGCGCCCCTCAGCTCGCTTTGCTGTTCAAGGCCAACCTCAGCTCGGCCTGCACGCGACGCTGCCGCCTACGGGCGACCGCGGCTGGCTGCGCGGGCGACGGCGGCGGCGACGGGGCGACGGCAGCAGGCAGCAGTGAGGCTGCGCAGCTGGAGGAATGGAACAGCCTGGCGGTGGGCTGGCAGCAGGCAGTCGTGTTTGAAGTGGCAGTGGAGGTCGACTGTGGGACCGATTCCGCCTGCCATCCCGCGCCAGCGCGCTTTGTGGCCTGGCGTGGCGGCGACTGTGGCGGGGCGGGTCCCGCAGCGGAGCCCGCGCTGCAAGCACAGCCGCTGCCTGGCAGCCTGCACGGCAACGCCAGCCTCGTGTATGTGCTGAATGCTGAGCACCCGGTCGTCACAGTGACCCACAAGCCGGCAGATTGCCAGCCAGCCGCAGTGACGGGTGTGCCGCCAGCAGGCAACGACACCTCTGGAGATGCCGCTGGCCTGCCCGAGCAGCCGGCAGCAGGTGCCATCGCCACACCCTCAGCAGCAGCAGCGGCGCCCGAGCCGGCGCAGTGCAGCACGCGGGGCCTGCTGCGGGCGAAGCTGGCGCTGGCGGCCTGGCTGGCGGCGTGCGTGGCCGTCGGGGCCCGCCTGTGACGCCATCCCGACCAGTGGGCCGGCCAATTGCAATCAATGGTTATTGCATAATGTAGAAATGCAGTGTAATGATAATGCAACACAGGCCACAGCAAGGTGCCGGGCTGACCAGCCGCTATGGCGGTGGGGCCGCTGTATTTGCTGCCACTGCAGACACCGCCTCTGCAGCCTGCCCCTCCCCCCCTGCTGCCCCAGCCTCCCCTTCTTGCTGCCTCTCCTCCTGCTGCTGCGCCTGCGCCTGCGCCTGCGCAGCCTGCCACTCCTTGTGCCGCTGCAGCAGCTGCCGCAGCTCTGCCAGCGTGCGCTGCATGGCATCCGAACCGCTGAAGTACAGGCGCAGCTTGGGAACGTACCGCTTCATCTCCTCCGCCTGCTCCTTGCTGCAACCAGGCCGGCGGCGCAGGCAGGCGGGCAGGAGGGTGGTGTTAAGGGAAGACATCAGTCACTGAGCTTGCCACCCTTTTGGGCGGGGTGAAGGACTCGCCCCGAACCCTGGCACGCCTGCTGGAGCGGCGGCGGCAGCTGGCAGGCAGCGGCACCGCCACTCACGTCAGCCGCCCGCCGTCGCCGCACCCGCCCTCGTGCTGCGGCTGGTGCCAGCGCTCCAGAACCTCCGCCAGCACCGCTTCCTCCCCCGCTGTGGCGTCTACCCACCTGCAGGGCGGGGGTAGGCAGGCGGGCAGGCGGCGGAGCGGCACGGTGAGGAGGGGGCGGTATTGAGAGGGAGGGCTATGCACAGAGGGGGTAAAGGTGTCCCGCCAACCTCGGCGGCGGGACCACCAAGAGCCGTAGGGGCAGCACAACAGGCGCAGCAGGCACAGCAGGCACAGCAGGCAGCCCACCTGAACATCCCCTCGTCCCGGAACCAAGACATCTGGCGGTGGCACAGCTGGCGGGAGGCGGTCTGGATGGCCTTCACCAGCTGGATCTGAAGAGGAGGGTGGAGGGGAGTGGAGAGGGGGGATAGAGGGGTGGCGGCAAGGCCACGGTGGTGTGAGCTGAGGCAGGCAAGGGGCTGCTCTGGATGGCGGCGCCGGTTTGGGGGCCGGGGGTAGGGTCCCAGTCACGGCTCCCCGCTCCCACCGCGCCGCCGGAGCTGGCTGCAAGCCTCAGCTCCACATCCCCGCAGCTGGCATGCCTCAGCACAGCAGCACCCGGCAGGGGCCACCCACCACGCCCGCCTCGGTGGCGTGGGCTTGGGGGTCGTCGTGGCAGCGGCGCAAAAAGTCGAGCGCCTGGCGGTAGCCGATGGCGCGGGAGGCGCAGTTGGAGCTGGGAGCCACCCCCGCCTCCAGCAGCAGCTGGCACTCCTGGCGGGGGGCGGGGCACAGCATGGCGGGGCCGGGGACGCAGCAGGTGGGTGAGCGTGGTGGGCGTGCGGCAGCGTGGAGGCGAAGCGAGCGCCAGATCAGAACGGGAGCGAGAGGAGCAGGCGCAGGGGAGGGGGCGGGCGAGCAGGGGAACGCGCAGCTCGACGCCGCCATGGCCGCCGCCGCACACGCCGAGAGCCCGCACCCGGCACCCGCATGACCGCCGCCGCACACGCCTGCCCGAACCCAACCACCACACACACACCTGCAGCAGCCCCGCCGCCACCATCTCCTCCACTCGGCCGTCGATGCGGCGGTACAGCTCCAGCCGCGGGCGGTGCAGGAAGAAGCAGCGGCAGTCGTAGTGGGTGGGGGTGCCCGCATCCAGGTCCTGGTCTGCGGGGTGGGGGCAGGGGCAGGGGGAGGGGCAGGGGCAGGGAGTGAACAGACAGCATGGCGTTTGCCCAGGCGTCTGCTCTGCACTGCCGCTACTGGGCCCCGCCGCCCCGCCCCCAGCCTCCGCCGCGACTGCGCCAGGCCGCAGCCGCCCGTGGGCACACCCGCCAGCGGCCTGCCGCCGCTCTGCAGCAGGATGTCTACGATGCGCAGCAGGCGGTACTGGTTGTTGGGCTCGCGCCGCAGCCGCGCCGCGCTTTCCTCGTCGCCCAGCGCCGCCACCAGCGCCGCGCCCGCCTCCCACCGCTCGCCGACGCTCAGCGGGCGGCCCGCCGCCGCCTCGGTGGCCGCATAGGCCTGCACGGCGGGCAAAGGAAATGGCACCCGGGCGAATAGGCGCTGGCGTGTGCTGGGTGGCTGGGAGGGGGCCAGGACGCCTGCTGGGGCAGTGGCTGGCCGGCTGCCTTTCACAAGCAGCCAGCCAGCCCACCAAGGCCCCACCTCCCCGCCCCAGCTCAGCACCTGCTCCAGCCGCTGCGTGGCGGCAGCCTCGGAGGCGGGCGAGGCGGGCGGCGTGGAGGGCTTGCCCAGGATGAACCAGCGCAGGTAGAAGCCGGTGCCGCCGGCCACGATGGGCGTCTTGCCGCGCTGAACCGCAGAGAAGCGGGCCAGGTGTGTGTGTGTGTGTGTGTGTGTGTGTGTGTGTCGCGGCTACGGCGGGGGGAGGCCGCTTGGCAGCAGGGGCGCTCGCACAAGCAGGCCCGGCCCAGCCAGCCAGCTGGCCTGCCAACTAGCCAGTGCTGCACAGCACACATGCCATCCAGTCGTGCTCCTCCTAGCACGTATATACCTGCAGGATGTCGTCTGCCGCCGCCCGCGCCCTCACGAAGAAGTCGCCGGCGGAGAAGTCTTGGTGCGGGTCCAGCACGTCGAGGAGGTGGTGGGGGATGCCGCGCCGCTCGGCGGCCGAGATCTGTGGGCAGACGGCGGCGCGCGGCGGCGGTGGAGGTTGTCGGCGCCGTGCCTCCTGCCTGTGCGGCCTGCCTCGCGGGCCGGCGATGCCTCGGACGCCGGGCGCAGGCATTGACTGGCTCCGTTTAGAGAGCAGCAGCAGCAGCAGCAGCAGCAGCACACGGCACACACAGCGCCGCCGCACCTTGTCGGAACCAATGTCCAGGCCGCGGTACACCTGTACTGAGTCGGCGCTGATGATCTCGCCGCCCAGCGCCTCCGCCAGCGCCAGCGAGGCCTTGGTCTTGCCCACCGCCGTGGGGCCGGTCAGGATGAGCACCTTGGGGCGGCAGGGCGCATCGCTGGCGGCGGTCGCGGCGGCGGAAGTGTTGCCCGCCATGGCCCGGCGCTGCCGTGCCGCCAGCGCCCGCAGCGCGTTCAACCGGCTGTGCGGTACCAGCACCAGGCCCTTGCGGGCGCAGCCCAGCATGCAGCCGCCAAGATGGAGCTGCCGGAGCCCACAGCAAGGAAACGCGGGACCGGTCCCTAATTGGGCACCTGAGATTCACACCCAAGGGATAAACATGCCGCAAGACACACAGGGGCTCTCCTGAGCGTCAACAGGGTCAGGCCCGCCACGCTGGCATTCGCGCCTTCCTCCCGCTGCTGGAGTTAAGTAGGGCTCCAGGTGCCACCTGCACCCCTCCCCGACCGCCCTGAACTGCCTCACTTGGGCGGTGGTTGAGGAGTTTATCTCCCCTGGTGCCACCACCTTGTTCCTGTTCGCGGGATTACCCGCGGCTCCAACCCCACAGGGGGCTGCACCACCTTGCCACTCCCTTGCTTCGCTGATCCTGGGGGGCGGCAGAGCGTGATAGCACCTCCACAAGCCCCACCACGATCACCCCGCCCTCCCTCCCCCTATCCTAGAGCGGCACGATGGAGCCGTTCTACGCCGCCCTGTTTGGCGTGGCAGCGGTGCTGGCCGCGGTGCTGGAGTATGGCAACCGCGCGGGGCGCAATGCGCCGGGCAACACCACAAGGGAGTTCACCATGTTCCGCAACAACTACCTGCTGGTGTACTCGCTGATGATGGGTGAGCCGGCCGCGATATCGATGCCCGTCGCGCCTGCGCCCCACCAAATCCACCCGCCGCCGCTGCCAGCAAACCGCGCTCGCGGCTTCCCGCCCCCTGCCCTCCCGCAGCCGGAGACTGGCTGCAGGGCCCCTACGTCTACGCCCTGTACCAGTACTACGGCTTCGAGCGGGGCGACATCGGCAAGCTCTTCATCGCCGGCTTTGGCTCCTCTATGGTGTTTGGCACCATTGTGGGCAGCCTGGCGGACAAGCAGTGCGTGCCGCTGCACCGCCGCGCCGCCTGGCTGCCTGGATCGCTGGTCCTGCCCCGCACGCTCTTTGGAGGCGCCTGTGCCGGTCCAGCTGCACGTGCCTGCATGCGCCGGCGCTGGCGGCTGCCTCACGGCCCGGCAGCGGCTGCCTGCCTCCACACGCCCCGCCTCACTGCTGCGGCGGCTCTCTTCCCCGCAGCGGCCGCAAGCGCGCGGCCCTGACCTACTGCGTGACCTACACCCTGGGCTGCTTCACCAAGCACTTCAACAACTTCTGGATTCTGGCGGGGGGCCGCGTGCTGTGTGGCATCGCCACCTCCCTCCTCTTCTCCGCCTTTGAGTCCTGGCTGGTGGCGGAGCACTTCAAGGTGGGACCTCGCTGGTGGGGTGGCGGGGTGGCGGGGACTGGGCAGGGCAGGGTTCTGTGGCAGAAGCAAGCTGGCAGAGGGGAGCAGCAGGGCTGGCCTAAGGGCCGGCGCTCTGCTCCACACGGCGCCGCCTTGCACGCCCACCGTGCCGCCCTCCTCCCATGTCCCCTCCCTCCCTACCTGCAGCGCGGGTATGTGGCCGACTGGCTGGGCAACACCTTCAGCCAGGCGGTATTCCTGGGCAACGGCCTGATGGCCATCCTGTCGGGTGAGCGAAGGGGGTGGCCCCTCGGCTCCCTGCCTGTGTCGCCGCTACAGCTGCTTTGCCGGCCTCTGCCCTGTGCCCTCGCTCCGCCGCTGGTCAGCTGCTCAGTATGCCAGCGCCCCCAGCGCAGCCCAAGCCAGGCCACCCTCTCCTCTCCTCCACACCCACACCCAAGCCCACACTCTCTGTGCAGGCCTGGTGGCACACACGCTGGTGGAGACGGCTGCCTGGGGTCCCGTGGCGCCCTTTGACGCCGCCGCCACCGTGCTGGCAATCGGCGGCCTCATCATCCTCACCTCTTGGTCGGAAAACTATGGCGACGCCTCGGAGCACAGCTCCGCGGTGGATGGCTTCAAGAAGGCGGGAGCGCTCATCTGGAACGGTGCGGTGGCGGTGTGTGGGTGGGGGTGCGAGTGGGCGCGTGCTGCCGGCTGCCGAGGGCGGCGCTGGGCAGTTGCAGATGGCTGGGAGGGGCGTGGCCGGGCCTGCTGCTTGGGGCTGGCGCCAGGCGTTTGCGCTCCTTGCCGCGTGCATCCAATCCCAGCACACACAGCCACACACACACCCACGTGCTGCCCCGATCCTCCCCGCCAACCCCCCCGCAGAGCCCAAGATTGCGCTGCTGGGCGCGATGCAGTCGCTGTTTGAGGGCTCCATGTACACTTTTGTTTTCCTGTGGACCCCCGCGCTCAGGTGCGTGCGTGGGGATGGGCCCCTTTGCCAGCCGGCCGCCGCCGTCCCCGCGCCGAGCGCTGGGCCTGCCTCCGCCTCGGCCACGCTCCTGGGAGACCCCACCTCGCTCCCCAAACCCAAACTCCGCCTCCGTTGCTTGGAACAGCGGCTGATCAGCTGAGCTGCTAATCGTGCTGCCTATGCCTACATGCTGCTGCTGACTGCGCCGCCTGTCCATTCCTTGCACTCCCCCGCCCGCAGTCCAAAGGGCGAACGCATCCCGCACGGCATGATCTTTGCCTGCTTCATGGTGTCGTCCATGGTGGGGTCGGCCATCGCGGGCAAGCTGCTGGCCAACAACAGCAAGTGAGGGCCGGCCCGCGGGGCGCGCGGGGCGCTGTGGTGTGGAGGGTGGAGCTGGGCAGCCGGCCGGCGGGCTGGCCCCTCACGCCTGATGTGTGCACCCCCAGCCCTTCCTCCCACACCCTCCCCTCTGGGGCACCCCCGCCCACTCTCTCTCTCACACTGTGCAGGTGGAAAGTGGAAAAGTACATGCAGGTGGTGTTTGGACTCTCCGCCTGCATGCTCTTTGTCCCCGTCCTGTACCACCAGACCTCCACCAAGGACGTGGCCCCGGGCACAGAGTGAGCCGTCCCGCCGCTTAACCGGCGCTGCTGTGGTGTGGTGCATGGCGTCTGCCGTGCCGGCTGCGGCAGGACCACAGCCGCACCTGCTTGGGCGCAGCTTGCAGGGTGCCCGGCGGCGGGCCGGGGCCGCCGCCTGGCTGGCACGGCTACCTGCGGCTCTCCCCGGCGGGGTCAGGCCGCATCCAGCTGCGAGAGCTTCTCCCTGCGCGCCGCACTCAACCCCCAACCCACCCACACACACGCGCTCCTCTCTCGCTCCCTGCAGCGCGGGCGGCATCACGGGTGACGGCAAGGTGCAGCTGGTGGCCTTCTGCCTGTTTGAGGTGCTGGTGGGCATCTTCTGGCCCTCCATGATGACCATGCGCAGGTGTGGGGGCACGGGTGGCGGGGCTGCGTGCGGTTTTTTTTATATGGGCTGCTGCTGTTGCTATTGGTGGGGAGGTGTGGGCTGTCCCTGGGTTGCTGGCGGTGGTAGTGTGGTGGTGGTGTGGGGACTTGAGCGCCCGTGCGAGTGCCGAGCCTCCCCCAGGCTGCCGTCCCCCGCCCACTGCGCGCCTGCGCCGACCGTACCCCTGAGCGCCGCGCCTGTACCGCCCATACCGCCTGTACCGCAGCGCGTACGTCCCCGAGGAAATGCGCTCCACCATCATCAACTTCTTCCGCATCCCGCTCAACCTCTTTGTCTGCGTGGTGCTGTACAACGTGAGTGTGGGTTGCTGCTGCTCCCTGGCTGCCCGGTTGGCTGGAGTGTGGCTGCTGCGGGAGGGGGAGCGTGGCCAACTGGCTGCCTGGCTGCCTGGTTGAGGGGCCTGCCCGAGAGGGCGGAGCTGCCGGGGTGGTGCGGCTGGGGGCAGCCACATGCGGGCGGTGCGGCTGCCATGTCGCTGTCGATTGCCGACCTGCCTGGCCTGGTGTTCCTCCCTTCTCCCTGCCCCGCTCACCCCCACCCCGCCCCACCCCCACCTTGCCCCGCCCCGCAGGTGAGTGAGATTGGGTTGGGGCTCACGTTTAGCATGTCAGCCTCGCTGATGGCGGCCGCCGCCGTGGCCTGCTGGCACTTCTACCAGCTGACCGTGGTGGTGCCGCTGCTGCGGGCCAAGCGCCCGCAGCGCGGCGGCCAGCAGCCGCCGCCGCACCTGCTGCAGCCGCAGCAGCAGCTGGCGCAGCAGCAGCAGCAGCAGCAGGCGCTGGGGCAGCAGCGGCACAGCGCAGAGGCTGGGGAGCCGCACCAGCGCCTGTCTGCGGGCAGCTCGGAACGCAGCCGCAGCGGGACGCCGCGGCGCGCAGCCGGCGGCGGCGGCCCCGCCGGCGCCTTCAGCTAGCGGCGGCCCGGGGCGGGGCGGGGGGCTGGGTCTATAGGTCTGGGGCTGCCGCGCCACCACCCCCAGGCCCGGCCAGGCCAGGCTAGGCTAGGCTAGGCTAGATGCGCGCGCCTACCAACCACGCCGCCGCCCCGTCCCGCCGCCGCCTCCTCCTGTCCCGCTCCTGCAGGTGAGCTCCTTCCCGCTGGCCACCATGTTTGGCATGTGCTCCCTGTTCCTCCTCGTCTGCCTCGCCTGCCAGCGCCAGTTTGCTTCCATCGTGCACTGGGAGCAGGTGGGAGGCGGGGGGAAGGCAGGGGGCAGCGGGGGCAGGGAGGGGCCCCTGGGCGGCATGCTGTGCTCCTCGGCACGCGCGCCGCCTCACCCGACCGTGGCTCATGTCGTCCCGCTGGCCCTCGCCCCCGATCCGGGGCTCCGCGGCGGCGGGTGGCTCCCCCTGCCGCCTGCCGCCTTCTGCTGCCCGCCACCAGGGGTGCTCATGCTGGATGGACTGCAAAGTCTAGTGATGGAAGCTATGTTTACATGGACTTATATCTGCTCTGCTGCCCACGCCGAGCTCTGCCGCAGGCGGGGTCGCACTTTGACGAGGACCAGCAGCCGCACCTGGAGGGCGGCAAGGCGGTTGAGTTCTCCAAGCTGCCCACCAGCGAGGAGGAGGGCGGCTCCAGCGCGGGCAGCGCCTCGCCCGCGCCCAAGCCGGCGGCGGCGCCCTGAGCGGGCGAGGCTGCTGCGGCCAGCGCGCTCGGCGTGGAGCGGCGGGCGGGATCGTAGTGACCGCAGTCGGGCTGCCGATTGCTCCGCGGCACCACGGAGCGTTCGAGGCGCTGCCCAGCAGGCTGCTTCGTTTGTTGGCAGCCTCGGCCCCGTGACCCCGCCGGTGCATGCCTCCTGTGGACGAGAGGCCAGCCGCCACCCCCAGCCCTGCTGCCGCCCCCGCCGTGCCTGCCCCTGCTGTTCCCCACAACAGATATGTTGTAATCAATCGCACACACGCCGCTGGATCACAGCAAAGATTTTTGGCAGGGGGTGGTGCGGGTCACCTAAGGCTGGGGCTGCCATTGAGCTGCAGCAGGGGTGGGAGCGGCCGGCCGCCGCTGCCGCCGCCAGCGCTCAGCTGGGAGCCCTGCACTCTTGCTTGCCCCAGCCCTGGGCCTCCACCCGCTCTCTTCCTAGTCACGTATTGTGTGCACCGTGAGCCCTCTAAGACGCGAATTCATGAGGAGACACGAGCCGACGTATACGTCCGCTCGGGGTGCCCCCTTCCTCCCCCGGCCCCTTTCGGCAGCACCGCAGCGTGCAGAGCTCTGGAGCGTCCTAGCTCTTCTGAAATTGGAGACTCATTTTATTGGCCCTTTTGCCTGAACACCACAAGGGACCCCACCCTCTCTCCCCTGTTCTGTCCCCCTGCGGGTCTAAGTCGTTTCTGGAGCTCGCAAAGCCTGTTCCACTCGCTCGCCCTCCTCCGGCTTTCGGGCGAGTGGTCTCCACCTGCCTTCCCCCACCAGTCGCACCAGTCTGCGCCCCCATTAGCTGCTGTCAGTGAGTGAAAACATCCGTGCAGTGAGCCAGCACCGTGGGCAGCCAGGCCCCGATGCAGCCACCGGTCAGGGCAGGGCATGCCGCCACTCCCTCGGCCGCCGCCCTCAGCTTTCAATTGTCAGGCGTGTCGAGCTTCCCGCCTGCAGCAGACACTCTGGTGAGCGGACCGGAGCGTTGTTGCGCCAAGCGTCCACGGGAAAATGCGTAGTGCGCAAAATGACCCTACCAGCCTCTGGGCGGCGGCGCAGCTGAGCGGGCAGTCGGGCGGAAGCTCTGCCGCTGCCGCTCAATGCATGCTCAATTTCCGGCCCTCAAGGTGAGTAATTCCCCTCCCGTCACCCAGCCTCACAGCTTGCCCCCTTATTGTCTGGTGCTGCAGGCCCTGGAGCCACAGCCTGGGCACACCCCACCAGCCTGGTGCGATGCCCCCTGGCTGGCCGCCGCCCCTCCCGCGGCGCCCGCCACGCCGCCGCCGGGCCCGGCCCCGGCGCCGGCCCGGCCCGTCGCCGCCATCCAAGCCCCCAGCCGCGCTGCCCAGCTGCCCGTCGAGCTCCTGGCGTGCATAGTGGAGCTGGTGGCTCAAGACGACAAGGCCCAGCAGCGCAGGCAAGCCGGGCTGGGCCGCCCAGCGGCGCGGCGCCGCGCACGCAGCGGGTCACGCCGCGCAGCCGATTCAGCTCAGCCCGATAGCGTCCTGCATGGACGGTCCTTGCACCCCCGCGCCCTTTCCTGTCACGCATGCCGCATGACAGGGCTAGTCTCCATGCCCTTGCCCCCGCCACCGCTTGCCCCCACCTTCCGTCTCCTGCCCTCACTGGCTCCCCTCACCGCCTCTCCTGACCACCCATCCACTTGCACCACACACACACTCACCAGCCTGCCCCACTCCACTCGCCCCTCCGCTCGCAGGCACACCGCCCAGTTTGTCAGCCGCGCCTGGCTGGCGGCGTACCGCGGCGTGGCGTACCGCCGCCTCACCCTGCACGTCGCCACCGCGCTGCGCCGCCTGCAGCGGCGCCGCGGGCTGAGCGAGGGCGCGGCGGCCGCCGCCGTGCTGCAGTGGCTGGCGGCTCGGCTGCCATATGCGGAAGAGGTGGTGCTAGCGGGCGTGCCTCAGCCGTTGGCCGCACCCCCACAGCAGTGGCCAGCCTCGGGGCTGCAGCAGCAGGCGGGGCCACACCCCAGCGGGCCCACCGCCCTGCTCGCCTGGCAACTGGGCGAGCTGCTGCTGGCGGCGCTGGCTGGCAGCAGCCGCCTGCGCCGCCTGTCCTGCGACTCTCTGCCACACCTGCCGCTGCTGCTGGCGGCGCGGGCGCAGCTTGCGGACGCGCCTGGCTGCCAGCTGGCGCCCCTGGAGGAGCTGGGAGTGACGGCCATGCCGGCGGCACAGGTGCTGTGCCACCTGCCGCTGCTGCAACGGCTGCCGCTGCGGGTCCTAGGCGTGTCGGACGCGGCCTGCCTGCCAGAGGAAGAAAGCACGGCGCTGGCAGCGGCCCTGGGCAGCCTGACCCAGCTGTCCAGCCTGTCGCTCGGCGGCAGCGCCGCCAGCAGGCAGTTTGAGAGCGGTGGCAGCGGCGCCAGCAGCTGCGCCGCCATGGGTCAAGCCCTCGCCGCACCCTCCACCAAAGCGGCCTGCGGCTTTGGCGTCCGCGTCCGCGGCGCCAGCCCGCCGCCGCTGCCGCCGCTGGCGGCCCTGCCAGCTTCGCCGGCCGCCGCACCCAGCATCCCAGGCGTGTCCCTGCCCGCCCTGGCGCTGGTGGCGGCGGCGGCGGGCCTGCCGCGCCTGCAGCAGCTGGAGCTGTCCCTCACCTTTTCCAAGCAGCAGTCCGAGGTGCAGCAGGCCTACCTGCAGCACCTGGGCTGCGTGCTGCGCCAGCAGCGCAGCCAGCGGGAGGCCGCCGGCTGCAGCTGCATGCCGCGTGACGACGCTGGCGTCAGCGCCGGCGAGGGCGCCTGCGCCTGCGCCTGCCAGGCCAGCCAGGGCAGCCGCGTGTCGGTGACTGTGCACGAGCACGTGCAGGGAGACCTGTCGGCAGGTGAGGCGGTGCCGCGTGGGCCCCTGCATGTGGCCCCTCCATGTGCATGCCTGGCATGTGTTCGGCAGGCTTCGCTCGCTGGCATGCGGTGCCATGCCTCTGCCATCCCTCCTGTCCCAGGAGGCATGTGAATGGAAGCATGCGCCGCTCAGCAGCCATGTGCCCACCCAGTGTGTCTTTACGCTTAGAGAACCACCCCTCTCCCCGCAGTCCCCGTGGCCTCCTGCTCCCTCAACCTCGACTGGGACGATGAGTCCAACCCGATCGAGGCGCGCTGCGCTGCGCCGCGCTGCGCTGCGTGCTGTGCCATGCTGTTCTCTGCTGCAGCCAAAGCCTGCCCGCTCACTGAGCTCGCTGGCAGCCGGCAATTTGAAAATTGCTGCATCCTGTGTTCACTCAACACCAAGGCTCCGACCCTGCTCACCCACCCACCCACCTCCCCAACCAGCCCTGCAGGTCTGGCAGTGCAGCACGCTGCGCCGCCTGCTCATCGCGGCGCAGCTGCCGCTGCAGGCGGGCCAGTTCCGCCCCGCGCGCCTGGCGGCACTGCAGGTGCTGGAGGTGGCGGGCTGCTGCTACATACCCGCCTACTTTGCAGAGGCGCTGTGCAGCATGCAGCAGGTGCGCCGGGCGGGCGGTGCCGCGGCAGCGAGGGGGGCCGCTTGTTCGTCTTTTTGTCGAGGCATGTTGAGGCTTGGAATCGGAGAAAAGGCAGGCAGGCTGTCGGCCGCGTGGTTCCTGTCTGGGCTGCCTGCTCCGGGCCCAGCCTGCTGTGTCGCCCTGCCGGCCCCCCTCTGCCCCGCAGCTGCGCCGCCTGGCGCTCCGCGACTGCCAGCTGGAGGCCATCGCGGCGGTGCCCTGGCAGGAGGTGAGGCCCGCTCCGGCTCACCTTTCTGTTTTGTCCTCCTGCCACAGCTGCTGCCACTGCTGCTGCTGCTTCTGCTTCTGTGTGCGGGCCGGGCACTACCGCGCTTCGGCCTCAGGCTGTGTCTGCTTGCCCCGCCGGTGGCATGCACACTGCCATGAGCGCTGTGCGTGCCTGCCCTGCCTGCCCCCGCAGGTGCTGCCCCGCCTGCCGCTGCTCACCGAAGTGTGTGTGGAGCGCTGCAGCGGCGCGGTGCTGCTGCACACGCTGTGGCTTGGGCTGGCGGGCTGCGCCAACGTGCGCAGCCTGAGGATCACGGGAGGCCCCGCCCTCGGCGGCGGCCCGCCCGCGGCCGCCGCGACTGCCACGCCCTACCAGCCCCTGGCGGCGGTGGCGCCCGGCGGCGGCCTGATGGGATGGCAGCACTTGGTAGTGCCGGGACCTCCCGCGGCAGCAGCAGGGCATTGGGCCTGCTACTGTGCCAGCCAGCAACAGGCGCAGCCGGCAGCCCCCGCCTGCGGCATCCCCGACTGCGTGGCGCTGCTGCAGCAGCTGCGCAGCCTGGACCTCAGCCACAACGGGCTGCACGCCCTGCCCGACGCCCTGGCCTGGTGCCAGCAGCTGAGCTGCGTGACGCTGCGTGGCAACAGGTGCGGTACCGGCGTGCGTGAGAGTGCTGGGCTGGGCTGGGGTTACTCCTGGCTAGTGTTGGTGCCATTCTCGGGGTGCTGCTGGTGACACGGCTGTTGCAGGTGCTGCGACAGGCGCCGAGGCTACCAGGCCAACCAGATAGTGCCTCTGGCCCTCACTTCGCCCTGCTGCAGGCTTTTGGGCATCCCCCGCGGCGTCGCAGCGCTGGGAGCCCTGCGCAAGCTCGACCTCAGCTCCAACCAGGTAAGCCCCTGCAGCGGCTGCTGGACGGACTGTGGTCGGCGGGGGAAACCCTCAGCTCCTCAAGGGCAAGCCTCAAAACATGTAGCGGCAGCTTTGCACAGCCTGGCGGGTTGAGGGCTGCTCCCGCGTCCGCTCACCGCTCCTCCTTTCTTCGCCCCCGCCTGCAGGTGACCACCTTGGACGGCGGCCCCTACCTGCCACAGCTGGAGGAGCTGCTGCTGGGAGGCAACCCGCAGCTGCTGCCCAGCCAGCTGCCGCTGGAGCTGCTGGTGGCGCGGCGCCTGTGCCGCCTGGGGCTGCCCGCGTGGTGGCGCGCGGCGGGGGCGGCGGCGGTGGACGGCGCCCTGCTGGCCCACATGCCCTGGCTGCTGCTGGAGCACAGCTGAGCGGGCGCCATCACCCAGCGAGCAGCCTGGGCGACTGTCGCAAACAGTTGCTGCCAGCTGGCGCCAGCTCTGCGCCCCTCTCGCACAAAGATGAACAGCAGCGCCCACCGAAACCCAGACATCGCATGATTTCGTGCCTTGCCATACACATGAGGATTATGACGCCATTCTTGAGCAACTGCTCCATCCCGTAGCATTTTTGCTGCGCCGCCGCCACTCGCCCTCACGCCTTCCCGTTCAACAGAGCGCCTCTACTAATCCGATATTCATTCCTGGAAGCAAGCCGTCAATTCACCCTGCCCCTGCTTCCCATTTTGAATGCACGCTTCACCTGCCCTGCTGGCACACACTCCGACCAGTGGCGCCGGCAACAACCCCCTGCCGTTTTTTCCATATCTATATTAGATCCAGTCCTTGCTGGCCTTCACCCGCCCCTGCTTGCCTGCGCGCCCGCCCTTCTTCCCTGTACTAAAACACGCTAGTAGCAATATACTTTGGGGATCCCCCTCGCCGCTTTGATTCCCCAAGCGAATGCCTCCTCCCTCTTTCTGGACCGAGGAGTTTTTTTTTCCATTTTCCATTCCCTCTTCTCTTTCTGACGACTTCCCTTCGGCTGTACCCGTTGCGTCGCCGAGCCAAGCCGCTACTTGGCGCTGGCTAAGCATGCACCCTGCCTGTGCCTCACCCGACGGTCTGTCCACGCCCGGGCGCCTGTACCTGCCCCCTTTCTGCCTTTTGCCAGATCTTTTCTGCCCCTCCCGCACTGGCACCGTGCCCTCAATTATTGATTGGATCTCCCTCCCCTATCCATCACCTTATCGAATGCCTTCACAAGTGCTTGCTGGCATACGGCACCTGCCCTCCATGTAATAACCCGCACTTAGGGGCCCCTGGAGCAGACTCCGTCCATGCGCCGCTCTGAGCCGCTGCTGCTGACCCTCATTTCGCCGCCTGCTTGCCCTCGGCAGAAGCCGCCTCCAGCCGCTGGCTGCATCCGGGAGCAGGGCACCGTCATCACTCAGTGCATCCCGCAGCCACACTCCAGGCAGTCTACACGCAGCAGGCAGGCCGTGGCTCCCCAGGACGCTCAAACTCACATCAGCCGCCGACGCGCCTCCTGCGGCTCGCAGCAAGGGATGCCCTCGATGCGTGCCCGAAGCGCGAGGTTGACGTCGCGGGTGCACAGCTCCACCTGCCAGGTTTAGGTTTGAGGATGCGTGGGTGGGCGCAGTATTGGCGTGGTGCGGGGGTGGCGGGGCAGCAAGGGCAGCGGGAAGCGGGGCACGGGAGATGAGCAGGCACCCTATCCCCAGCAGTAGCCGCCGCCGCCGGCTGGCCGCCGGCTGGCCCAGGGGCCCAGCCCCTGCCCCGCCCACCTGCGCCCCTCGGGCCCGGAAGTACAGCAGGCAGTCCAGGATGCCTGCAGGGGCGCAATGGGCCAGGTCCCAGGGCTGGTAGTGTCATAGTGCAGGCATCGGCACTGGTGTTCGGCGAGCGGCAGCCACCCCCCGCACACACACCGACCACCATGCCAGCGGCCGCCACCCTGCAATCCCCTCACCGTCGTCGTTGCGGCGCAGCTGGCCACGCAGGAGCTCGTCCTCCCTGTGATCCAAAGAAGAAAGGACATGGGGGCGGCTATCAGCAGCAGGCAGCAGTGCTGTGCACACACCAGCATGGATGCAGCAGGCAGTGACTCTGAACAGAGCCACATCACGCTGCATCCTTCGCAGCATCCCTCCTCCCAGCCCCAGCCGGACATCCTCTGCCGCACGCACCTCTGACCCCGCAGCGCCGGGTGCCCTTGCATGTCTGCCAGCCGCCGGATGGCGCGCCGAGCCCACAGCCCCCTGAACAGGCACTTCTTCATGCCATCCAGCTCCCGAACCACAGCCTGGGCAAGGGGCAAAGCAGGGGCGCAACCAGTGCATGAGCAACGGCCCAGGGGGAGTGCGAGACAGCCCCCATCAGTTGAGCACCGCCTCGAGCACATGCGCGGAAGATGGCACGCGTGGCAGACAGCCAGGCCAGCGGAAGCAGCAGCAGTGCGCCCAGCGCTGCCCACCAGCGGCACCAAGAAGCGCAGGTCGGCGCAGCCGCTGGCCAGCAGCCGCTCCCAGCACTCCCTGCACAGCAGCATGGCGGCAGCAGGTCAGATCCAGGCGCCCGACAGCCCCACACGGCTGCAGGCATTATATGTCGGCATGAGCGGCCCGCGCAAGGCCACCGCAGCTCCCTCAGGCAGCCGTCCTGCCCAGCCGTCCGCGCCATGCACAGGCCCCGCTTCCACCGGCCGGCCAGGCACCGCCGCCTCTCCACCGGCCGGCCAGGCGCCGCCGCCTCTCTCACTGTATGAGCCTGCAGTGGTCCATGTAGACGTTGGTGTCCCAGCACACCAGGGTGACGCCCGCCTCGCTGGCGCTGGGCCTGCACGCAGTGCGTGGCAGCAGTGGTGGGGTTTGAAGTGACGATGCATGAGCGAGTGGAGGGTGGTGGGAGGGGCTAGGTGGGAGCATGTAGTCGGGCGGTAACGCTCAGCAGGGCCACGCATCAAACCACGCAAAGCAGCGCCTTGCCTGGGCTCGGCGCCTGCTGCTGGCGCCACTGCGAGGCCGCCCTGCTGGTGGTGCATGGAGTGGAGGCACAGTTGCAGCTGGCCCAGCTTGGAGGAAAGCGTGGCCAGCTGGCGCTCCATGTCAGCGGCGCCTGCCACCCCGACCGCTGAGCTGGCGGGCTGCGCCGGCTCACCACCACCGCGAGCACCACCTGCATCATTTCACAGCACCGAGGCGTTACGGGCCCTATCACGGCGCTGCTTCGGGTAGCCTAGCAAAGCGAGGGCGTGCAGCAGCACCGCCCAGCCAGCAGCCGCCCATCTCACCATGCGGCGCAGGGCGAATGGCGCCAGAGCTGGCGCCCAGCCGGCCCAGCTGGCGGTGCAGGCTGGCTGCCTCGGCGCTCATGCTTTCCACCAGGCTGGCCAGCGCATGCTGGGCCTCCAGGGGCCCCGAGGGAGCAGCACAGGCCTGGGTGGCGGCCCGCCTGCGGCACGGCCGGAAACACAGGAGGGAGGCATTGGCTCAATGCCTCAAGCGTGGCGGCGTCATCTGCGCATGAGGTGCAGGCAGCTTGACCAGGCTGCAACCCCAGACCAGCGGCCACACCCACCCACCCACCTCTTCCCTGCTGCCGCACCACCCGCCACGCGCCGCAGCGGCGAGCGGCTGCGCCGCCGCCGGCTGGCGCGCTGCCGCTGCCGCCGCCGCGAGGCGCCGTCGTCGCTGTCGCTGCAGCTGCTGGAGCTGTTGCCCTCCTCAGTGATCTCTCCCTCCTCCAAGCATGGCTCTGCTCCCCTGCCTGCTGCGGCTTTCGCCGCTGCTGCAGGCCTGGCGGGCGCAGGCTTGGCGGGTGGGCGCTGGGCGGCCCCAGGGGCCCGCAGCGCAGCAGCAGGCGCCGCCGACTGTGGCTGCTTGGCAGGCAGAGCCGCCTGCTGCTGCTCCCACATCCGCTGAATGAATGCGGGCACCAGGGGCGTGGCGGGCTGGCCAAGCTGCTGCACACCAGACACCGGCTGGGCCCGGGCTCCCGCCACTCTGACTACTGCTGCTGGTGTGCCGGCTGGGAGGTGCAGCACTGCTTCTGCTGCGCTGGGGAGCGGCGGCTGCGAGGTGCCAGCGGGCAGCGGTGATAGGGCCCTCAGCGGGCCAGCTGGCGATGCCGACGTTGCACGGGGAAGCCTTGGCGGCGGGGTGCCTGTGGCAGGGCGGCAGGGAGCGGCAGCCCAAGCAGCCGCGCACAGTGGCTGTTGAAAGCGACGCAGGAAGGTGGTGTTACGTGCAGCAGGACACCGTAAGTGCTGCATAACCCTGACGGAACACCTCAGCAGCGGCGGCACTCACCCGCAGACGGCGGCTTGGTGCCCAGCCTGGCTCTAGTCGGCGTGCGGTCGCGCTGCGGCGCCGGCGAGTGTTGCACCGCCCCAGGTAAGATGGGCAGGGGCGGCGCAGCCGCTGGTGCGGCCTGCCGCTGCTGCTGCAGCAGTGGCGCTGACCGCCCTACGACGCGGGTCGCTGGCAGCGGCGTGCCCAGATCCATATCTGCCTGTAGCTGTGGGTGGTGGTAGGGCCGGGCAACGTGGGCGGCGTCCGGGGTCGGCGGCCGCACCTGCGCCCTGCTGCTGGGCGCTCGCTGCTGCTGCGGCGGCTGCGGCTGTTGCTGCGCGCGTGGTGGCGTAGCAGGTGTGCGCCCGGTGACCTCCACGCGCCGCGGCGCCCTGCTGTTGCTGTTGGGTGTCCGCTTTGGTTGTTGGTGCAGCTGAGCCGGCGGCGGGCGTGGCGGCGTGGATGGTATACGCGTCACCTCCACACGCCGCACTTCCTGCTGGTGCCGCGGGGGTGGCGGCCGGTGGGGAGAAAGCCACCCAGTCCAGCCCCCATCAGCTGGTGCCGAGGTCTTGGCGACACGAGGTGCGGGGCTCTTGCCGCTACGGCGCCTGACGCCGCCGCCACCAGCCCGCGGCGTTGGCCCCGGCGACCCGTAGCTCACTTGACGGGGCTGCAGCGGCTCTCTGTGGGAATCCCAACAAGGCTCCTGGGCGGCAGGCAGCTCAAAGGAAAACAAGCCGCAGGGTTGCGACAGCTCGGAGGGCAACTGGCCGCTCAGCTTGATGCGCAGGCTCGCATTCTTGCGCCCCACCTTCACTCGGCTGACTGCACGGCCCGGCATGGCTGCCACAGGCCGAGAGCCAGTGGCGAGCTTGCCTGCAGCTTGCGCAGAGCCCGGGGACCTCAGCAGGCGGAGGACGACATGAAAACCAGCCGGACAGCAGCACGTTGGCAAGTTTGATCGCCACATGGGGTCCATGCTGTGCACCCAGCGCGATCGGCTGGCGGGCGCAGGCGCCGAGACCGGCCAAGAGATTGCAACAAGCTCATACCAATACGAGTCACGCATGCAGTTTACATGTGCCACTGCAAGGCCATTTCTGCGCCTCTGTCAAATGCAATGTGTTTGCCGTGCCTACCAGCCGCATCGCAGCCAGAGCATGCAAAAAGCGAGCCTCGGCGGGGCTGCCCGGGCGCATTCAGTTAGCCACCGCCAGGTCGCAAGGCGCCGTCCAGGACTGGAGCTAGGGCTGTGCAGCAGCGGCTGCAGCTGCGGCGGCATGCAGGCGCCGGCACTCGGGCTTGTGCGTGCGCCAGTGCGCGCGGCTGCAGGCCTCGCTGCAGTACCTCACACCCCGGCACCTGCAGGCAGGAAGCAGGCAGGGCAGCACGGGCGACGCAGTGAGACAGACAGGCAGGCTGCAAACAACCCCACAGGCAGTTACATCCACGCCAGAAAGGCAATCTGCTGCCGTGAGTGTCTGGGGCACCACTCACGCAGAACAGAGCTTCAGACGATGCGTGTTGCCGCAGCCGTCCGCTGCGCACACCCTGGCAGCAGGAGCCGCTGCCTCTGCGTCAACCACTGCCGGTGCATCCCCTGCTGTGGTGGGGGCTGTGGTGGGGGCTGCTCCTGCGGGTGCCGTCCTAACTTGTGCCGCGCCTTCAGAATCCAGCACGGCAGCCCCAGCCTGCTCGCTGTTGGACAGGCTGTGCAGTGCAGCGGCTGCGATCTCCCGTACCTCCTCCTTTGGGCTGCTGTACAGCAGCTGCTGCAGAGCAACAATGCCGCCTGATGCGGCAATGGCAGCGCTGTTGTCGGGGCTGTCCCGAGAGAGCAAGGCAAGCGCACCGGCTGCTGCCGCCTGCACCTGCTCGCTGGCGGTGGTGCGCAGTATCTGCACCAGCAGAGGGATGGCGCCTGCAGCGCCAATGGCTGCCCTGTTGCCAGGGCTGTCAAAAGCAAGGTTCGAAAGCGCAGCGGCTACTCCCCAATGCATCTTCTCGCTGGCGCTGCAGCTCAGGAGCTGCACCAGCAGAGGGATGCCGCCGGCCGCTACAATGGCTGTCTTGTTGCCAGGGCTGTCAAGAGTAAGGCAGCCAAGCGCCCTGAGTAACATCCCTCGCACCGCCTCACTGGTGCTGCTGCTCAAGCACTGCACCAGCAGAGGGATGCCGCCGGCAGCTGCAACGGCCTCCCGGATCTCAGGGTCTCTCACGAGGATAACAAGCACACGGGCTGCTTGCAGTTGTACATGCTCGCTGCAGCTGCTGCTTCGCAGGTGCTGCAACACAGCTGGGATGCCACCAGCCGCTGAAATGGCCACGCTGCAGTCGAGACTGTCGAAGGAGAGACCGCTGAGCGCCATGGCTGCCTGAACCTGCACCGCCTCGCTGCGGCTGGTGAACAGGCACTGCAACAATGGCGGTATGGCGCCGGCCGCTGCAATGGCTGCGGCGTTGCGAGAGTTGCCGGCAGACAGGTTGCGCAGAAGCCTGGCTGCGGCCTCCAGCAAATCCTCGCCAGGAGCGGTCCTGCTGATACGCTGAACCAGCGCTGGAATGGCGCCGGCCTCTACGATTGCTGTCCTGCTGTCAGCACTGCCGGCAGAGAGGTCGCCTAGCGTCCTGGCAGCATCAACCGCCTGGCACTCGCCGCTGCTGCACAGGCGCCTCAGCAGCGCTGAGACGTAGGTACTTGAAGCCATCGGCAAGCGTGGAGAGGCTGTTGCTGAATGCACCAAGGCGCTGGCAGGCGCTGCGGCAGGCGGGCGGGCGGCGGGGACAGAGGGTGCGGAGGTTAGGGCGGGCATGCGGCGTGCAGTGGAACCCTGCGCCAGCAACGGCATCTGGGCGCCGCAAGCGGACGTTTCAGCACCGTACGTCATAACGCACCCACCGTGTGGCACGATCAGCAGCCTGCTCACTCATCAGCGACACCTGGGCTGCATGGGAGGAAGTCGGAAGCGCAGATGCTGCGTAAGGTTGAAAACGGGCTTGCAGGCGGGCAAATGTGGGCACAGCGTGCACGCCGTGCCGCCACTGCCTCTCATCACATTCTCACGTTGCAGCACCCATCCCACAATAAGGTAAGGTCTACGACGAAATCCAATGCTGTATTAGCGTCACAGGCGGAATATTTCATGTCGGCACCCCGACTCATCATCCCCGCGCCGCCGCCGTCCCCAGCTCGCCCCCGCCTGATGATGAACACGCCATGCACGCAGTTCACATTTGCAACTGCAAGGCCTTTCCAGCGCCTCTGCCAAATGCAATGTGTCTGCCGTGCCTATCAGCCACATCACAGCCAGAGCATGCAAAAAGCAAGCCTCGGCAGCGCCACCCGTGCGCATTCAGTCAGCCACCGCTAGGTCGCCAGGAACCATCGATGACTGAAGCTAGGGCTGTGCAGCGGCGGCTGCAGCTGCGGCGGCATGCAGCCGCCGGCACTCTGGCTTGTGCGCACGCCAGTGTGCACGGCTGCAGGCCTCGCTGCAGTACCTCACACCCCGGCACCTGCAGGCAGGAAGCAGGCAGGACAGCACGGGCGACCCAGTGAGACAGGCAGGCAGGCTGCAAACAACCACACAGGCAGTTACATCCACGCCATAAAGGCAACTTCAGGGCACCACTCACGCAGAACAGAGCTTCAGGCGATGCGTGTTGCCACAGCTGTCCGCTGCGCACACCCTGGCAGCAGGAGCCGCTGCTTCTGCGCCAACTACTGCCGCTGCGTCCCCTGCTGTGGTGGGGGCTGCCTCTGCCGCTGCGGGTGCCGTGACCCCTTGTGCTGCGGCATCGGAATCCAGTGCGGCAGCCCCAGCCTGCTCACTGTTGGACAGGCTGACCAGTGAAGCAGCTGTGGCCCTGCGCACCGCCTCGCTTGGGGGGCTGTACAGCAGCTGCTGCAGAGCAACAATGCCGCCTGATGCGGCAATGGCAGCGCTGTTGTCGGGGCTGTCCCGAGAGAGCAAGGCAAGCGCACCGGCTGCTGCCGCCTGCACCTGCTCGCTGGCGGTGGTGCGCAGTATCTGCACCAGCAGAGGGATGGCGCCTGCAGCGCCAATGGCTGCCCTGTTGCCAGGGCTGTCAAAAGCAAGGTTCGAAAGCGCAGCGGCTACTCCCCAATGCATCTTCTCGCTGGCGCTGCAGCTCAGGAGCTGCACCAGCAGAGGGATGCCGCCGGCCGCTACAATGGCTGTCTTGTTGCCAGGGCTGTCAAGAGTAAGGCAGCCAAGCGCCCTGAGTAACATCCCTCGCACCGCCTCACTGGTGCTGCTGCTCAAGCACTGCACCAGCAGAGGGATGCCGCCGGCAGCTGCAACGGCCTCCCGGATCTCAGGGTCTCTCACGAGGATAACAAGCACACGGGCTGCTTGCAGTTGTACATGCTCGCTGCAGCTGCTGCTTCGCAGGTGCTGCACCAGCAGAGGGATGGCGCTGGCATCTGCAATGGCCACTCTGCAGTCAGGTCTGTCAAAAGAGAGAACACCGAGCACCACGGCTGCCTGATCCTGCACCCTCTCGCTGCGGCTGCTGCACAGGCACTGCACCACAGCAGGAATGCCTCCGGCCGCTGCAATGGCTGCAGCGTTGGCAGGGCTGCCGACAGAAAGGTTGTTCAGAAGCCTGGCTGCGGCCTCCAGCAAATCATCGCCAGCATCGCTGCTGCTGATACGCTGAACCAGCGCTGGAATGCCGCCGGCCGCTACGATGGCTGCCCGGTTGTCACCGCTGCGCAGGCACCTCACCAGCGCTGAGATGTAGGTGGAGGAAGCCATCGGGGAACGTGGACAAGCTGGTGCTGGCTGCCCCCCGGTGTGCCGCTGCGGCAGGCGGGCGGGCGGCGGGAACAAAGGGTGCGGAGGTTTACGCGGGCGTGCGACGTGCAGCGGACCACTGTACCCGCAACGATGTGTGGAAGGAGCGAGCGACCGCTGTTCAGCACGATACGCCACATCGCACCCACCGTGTGGCACGATCAGCAGCATGCTCACTCCTGAGCGACACCTGGGCTGCGTGGGAGGAAGGCGGAAGCGCAGATGCTGCGGAAGGCTGAAAGCGGGCTTGCTGGCGGGCAAATGTAGGCACAGCGTGCACGCCGTGCCGCCACCGCCTCTCATCACATTCTCATGTTGCAGCGGAGCACCCATCCAAGGCAAAGGAAGGACGCAATCCAATGCTGTACCGGCATAACAGGGCGGCATTTCTTTTCTTCAACACCCAGGCTGCTCCGCGCCTCCTCCGTCCTCATTCCCCGCCGCCGAAGGCCCCAGCTCACTACCGCTGGCCTGCAGCCGCCACGCCAGCTCCCCGAACTGGAGCAGCGTGAGGTCCTGGGCCCGTGCATCCTCGCTGAGCCCCGCCGCCGCCAGCGCCGCCGCCACCTGGCCCGGCTCGTACAGCGGGCGCAGCGCATTGCGCACCACCTTGCGCCGCTGGCTGAACGCTTTCTTGATCTGAAGTAGGGGAGGAGCGGCGGGGACGAGGGCAAAGGGATACATGCGGCTCGGCATGCTGGGACCAAGCTCCATGAAGAGTTCCGGGGACTGTAACTCCTGCGGTCCCGCACAACGGTGCACCGTACCGCCTCATCTGCTAAGGGGCCAGCTCACGAACGCGTGCCCAGCTCTAAACCCACACAGCTCTCCCCTCGACTCACCAACTTGAGGAAGTCTGGCTCGGAGGGCACCGCCAGGCGCTGGGAGGGCGGCGTGAGCGCAAAGCGCACCACCGCGCCGTTGACCTTGGGGGAGGGGTGGTACTTGCGGCGGTCGATCTCAAAGCTGCGGGGCAGGGCAGGACGGCAGGCGCGTTGCAGGGGCGGGGTGCGAGGTGTGCGAGGTGTTTGAGTGGGGGTGGGCACGCCCGCGTCTGAGGCACGGATGCAGCCCGCCAGAGTGCACCACTGTCAGCAGCTGCATAAATGATACTGCCCCAGGTCGGCGGTACTCACAGGTACTGCGCCTGGCTGTAGTACTGCGTCACCAGGTTCATCGCCCGCCAGTCGGACGCCCCGGGGTCCTCCTGCGTCAGCCGCACACCCACCTCGTGCTGCGTCGGGGCGGCGGGGGGAGGTGGAGAGATGGAAGGAGGGAGGGGGTGTCATCAGGGCGGGCCGCGAGCAGCTAGCTCGTGAACAGGCAGTGCAGCAGGCTCCAGTGATGCCGGATCCGGCAGGCGCACGCAGGTTCGGCTGTGCTGCGCCAGGCACCAGGAAAGCTGCTGGCGGCTGGACGCACCGCTGCGTCCCAAAGCAACCGCTACACCCCGCCCTACAAACCCACACCCACCCCGCTGCCCTGACCTGCAGCATGAAGTAGAGGGCGGCGACGCGCCCGCCCAGCGGCAGCATCTGTGCCAGGCAGTCCTTGGTGATGTAGTAGGGCAGGTTGGCCACCACCAGCACACGCGGGTCCTGCTGGGCCTGCTGCTGGGGTGCCGCCTGCTGCTGGGGTGCCGCCTGCTGCTGGCGTGTCGCCTGCTGCTGTGGTGTCGCATGTTGATGTAAGTGCAGAGGCGGCGCGCCGTCCAGGTGCTGCTGCTGGGAGGCCGCCGGCTGCTGCACGTCCTGCGCGCTGCCTCCGCCGCCGTCCTCCGGCCGCGGCTGCGGCGCTTCCGCAGGTGCCGCCGCAGGGTACGCCGCAGGCTGCCGCGCCGCCAGCCAGCCGGTGCGGTGCTGCTGCATGCCGTGCAGCAGCTGCGGCAGGTTCTGGCGCAGGATGTCGCCACACACCAGGCGCAGCTCGAGCACCTGCCGGCGGCGGGCAGAGGCGACGGCAGCTGCTGTGAATTCCATGAGCAGCACAGGTCGGGCTTCAGCCACTCAAGCACTGGCACCAGCACTAGTAAGAGCTGCCTGGCGTGCCCTAATGTAACGCTACAGGAAAGAATACCCTGCCTGTGCCCCTGCCAAAGCCCCTTCCCCCCCAGCCCCCGGCCCCACCGCTGTTCCCACCCCCCCTTGCCGTGTTCCCCCTGCCCTCCCCCAACCCAGCCCCCACTGGTTAAAATTCCCCTTCCAGCTGCTCGCTCAGCGCTTAACCTTTTTCCACCGCCGTACCAGGGCCCCCCCCCCCAACCAGGTCCGGCGTCAGGTTGCCGTTCCTTCCCCACCCCCCAGGGGGGAGGGGGAAACACCCACCGGGGGGGGGGGGGGGCATCGGCAGCGTTTCCACACCGGGGAAGCAAATTCTAAACCAGCGGCTGATGCTTGCGGAAGGGAGGGAACACCCGGGTAGACCGCCTGCTTCTGAGCCCGCCACTCCCCAAGCTGGTGGTTGCCACCCACCGGGCCCAACCTCGAGCACCAGGTCTCCCGGCTGCACGCCCGCGGCCGCCACGATGGCTGCCAGCACATCGTCATCCAGCATGAAGTTCTGGCCCAGGGACCTGCGGCAGTGGAGTGGGCGAGAGAGGGAAGCGTGGGCGGTGGCAGGTGCGTAAATGGAGGGCATGGTCAGACGGTGTGGGTGACAGTCCGGTAGTGGCATGGCTGAATGGCCGACCCGGCAAGCCTGGTGCTTGAAGCAGCTGGGCAGCAGGATGCCGGCCAGCATGCGGCGGCGGCGGCGCCTCACTTCTTGGGCCGCAGGTTCTGCTCCTGCAGCCGCTTGCGCGTGTCGGCGGCCTTCTTGTCCCACAGCCATCCCACCGCGGGCACCGCGGGCGCCTCCGCTGGCCGGGAGTCGCGCTCCCGCTGCTCAGCTGCGGCAGGCTGCAGCGGCCGCAGGGAAGGGGCCGCCTGTCGCTTGGCTGCATGCCGGGGATGCCATCTGTGCTGCAGGGCGGCGCCCTGTGAGGTTGGGGAGACGCGCTGGCATGCCTCCATGCCGCAGCCTCGCTTGCTGCGCCTGGGGTGCTGTGCTGTGGAAGGCGTAAGGGTGTCTACTGATTGGGTAATCAGCTCCATGCATGTATCCGGGTCGGCTGCTGATGTGGCGGGGCGGGAACGTGCGGCGGGAGCCTCCGCCCGCCCGCGCAGTGCTTCGCTCGCAGCCCAGCTGACACATGGCCCTGCATGATGTTCCGTGAACACTGGTTGCTTGATATCAATTCGCAGTCGCAGCCCCGGAGAGTCTCAACTGGGAAGCTGCGGACTGCACGTGCTTTTGCCCTGACGACCGCTGTTGGGCGTCAAAGCTGTGGAGCCAAGTTGTGTGGGTCTCAGCATTGTCTTGACCTCGTAGGCCCTGCAGTTGCTCTAAAATCATGTGAATCTCCATTTTCACATTTTTCAAGCATTCATCCTAGGGCGGCGCAGCCCGGCGGCGGCAAGGCAGCCGTGCGCTGCCGCAGCAGCGGCGGCCGCGGCGCCTGCACCCGGAACTGCAGCTGCAAGAAGAATGGTGCGCTGTGTGGTCGGCACTGTGGCTGCATAACCGGTAAGGGTGGCAATTGCAAGAACCATTGAAGAAGTGGGCCTTGTACGCTTTGCCGTCTCCGCTGGAAGGCGGCTGCCGCCTGTGGCGGCTTCATATTTCCTGTTCATTTCTGTTGTTCGGTCTCTCTGTTGGTGTTGGTTGGCTTGTAAGAGTTATATTTCTGACGCTAGAGAGGTGAGAGCGTTGAAGCCCCCTGCCCAAGGTCTGCTCACGCGGCCAATCATAGCGGGGTGACTGTAACACAGGCTTGAAGCGTGCATGCCACCACGTGTGCAAGCAGCCCCTCTCCGCCCCGCTCAACCCTCAAACAGGGCTCTATGGGGTCAGTTCACGTATGGGAGGGGAGCGCTGCGCGGGCTGCGGGGGCGGGGGTTGCCAGGAGCGAGCGGGGGCGGGGGTTGCAGGGGGCAACATGATGCAGCCGAGGTACAGCCGCGGCGGGTGGGGTTCGCCAGAAAAGCCCGCAAGGCGCTCCCACAAGCTTTGCAGTCTAGCGATCTGCCTCTATTTAGGTGCTATGCAGCGGGAAGGGTGCCCCCCACGCATGGAGAGCTCCCTGCGTGCGGGGCCGCCCGTCGCTTTGCGAGCCGCCCCAGATCAGTCTCACGGCAACATCACTAGCTTTTCCCACCTGTGTCGGAGGGAGCGGCAAGCCACCTGGGCCTGGGGCGACCTGGTCATCGCGGTGAGTGCGCTGCACACCACTTGCCAGCCCTGGCGAGGGCCGGGTGAAAGGCGCGCATGGATGGAGGACGGCGGCCAAGCGTGCAAGGTGCACAGGCGCCGCTTGGCGGTGGCGGACATCCTGAGCGGGGCGCCGTTCCCCCCGGGCTGTGCACTTCTGCAGGGCGCGATGCTGCTGACGCTGTGCCGCCACTGGACCCGCCTGGGCTGGCAAGAGGAGGCCTACCTGGCGGCCCATGGCGTCGGCTGCCTGTCCTGGCGGCTGCTCATGCGGCGCCTAGCACGGCGGCCGCGTTGCGCCGAGCGCACCCGCCTGCTGCTCGAGGAGGCCTTTGCCTGCCTGGTCAGGCTGACAGTCTTCCTGCCCGCCGGAACCTCCGTCATCCTCATGTGGACCGACCAGCTGGGAGGCAGCTTCTCCACAGCGGCGGCAGGGTCTGGGCCTCTGCGGGCCGCCTGCGGCGCGGCGGTGAATGCCGCCCTCTGCCTCCTGCTGCTCCTGTTTGGCACGGAGGTGGTGAGCCTGGCGCTGCTCAGCGCCAGCAAGCCGGTCATGCTGGGGTGAGTGCCGGGGGGCTGGGGGAGGGCGCGGCTGGGCGCATCGGATGGCAGGCCGCCTGCCGTCGCCGCTGGCGCCGCTGTTGCTGCGTGGCATGCCTGCTGCCACACCCAGTGCCTTTTCTCTCTGCCCACAATCCACACTGGCCCCACACTGCCGCCCCTGCCTCCCTCCCCTGACCCGCAGCCTGCACGTGCCGCTGCAGCTGGCCGCCGTGGCCTCAGCCATGCGGCAGGCGCCCCGCTTCTGCGCCACCCGCGCCTTCACCCACGCCGCCGCCCGTGGCCCGCTGCACTTCCTCTATGCGGCAGTGGACAGCGTCATGTCAGCGGGTATCCCACTGGGCTCCCACGGCAGGCACGCCCGCCGCTCCCCGGCGGCAGAGTGCGTCGCGCTGGTGCGCTTCCTGCAGCTGGTAGCTGGCAGCTGGTAGCTGCTGCTGCCCTGCGGGGTGGCGGCCGCCCTGGAGAGCCGCCGCCACGCGGAGTTGTGCCGAGAGGCGGCGCCGCATGCGCAGCCCGCCTCGGCCGCCGCCGGCAGCAGCAGCAGCAGCTCCGGGCAGCTGCCAGGCGGCGACTCGCCAGCGCCCGGTCCGGCGGCGCCTCATGCGGCGGCGGCGGCGGCGGCGGCACCCGCCGCGCTGGCGCGCTTCTACGGCTGGCTGCACTCTCTGCTCAGCGAGGAGGACCCTACAATGCTGCGGCTGACCTGCCTGCTGCTGCTGCTGGGCGCCGCCTGGGACCTGCTGCTGCTGCTCAGCCCCGCCTGAGTGGCAGGCAAGGGCAATGCCGCCCTTGCAGCCACGCCCCCTTGCCTCCACCTGCCTCACTGAGAGTGTACCCATCCGTGCCGCCGGCCGTGGTGTGCTGCGGCCCTGTGTGTTTGATTGCAACTGGCCCCTTTGCCAGCAGTTATTAATTTTGCGTTTTGTATACCCGTGTCCTGCCGGGCAGCAGCATGCTGACGTGCGCCCGCCCATACTGTACCTGATTTTGTTTTGGCGTGCCAGCCCCCCTGGCAGCTTGTTTCCCTGATTAATCACCCTGTACAGCCAGCTGCTCTGTGATACTACCCGTGTACGCACACCCTTGCTCTCCTGCCCTTGCCTGCCGTACTGCACACCAACCGGCCCTGTAATACGTCCACACACTTCCTGCCCCTGTGCACACCAGGCTGGCACGTCGGATCCGAACCACGCCAGCTGGTATGGGAATCACCGCCAGGATCACATGCATGGCAGAGCATGCCAACACCGATAAGCTAAGAATGCAGGGGCAACAGAGGGCATCGAGCCGCCGCCAGCCACACTCGGCTGCTGCAGGCTGTTGGACGGTTGCCCTGACGCGTGCAGCATGTGGCACCTCAACCGCTGCTGCTGCCTGCCGTGCAGCCCAGCCCAGGCGCTGCTGCCGTAGCCCCGCCGCTGCCGCGCATATGCAGCCGCAGGCTGCCAGCCTCGGCTACTGCCTGCGCCCAGGCCACGTGCCTCGGTGCCTTGGCCAATTCCGCCCGGGCGGCCGCCGCCGAGCCCTCAGCCGTCTGTGAGCCCCGCCTTGCGCAGCACCTCCACAAACGCATCCTCGTCGTCAAACGCAACCTCTGCGGGTAGTCAGGGACGGGGGCGGGGAGGGTCGAGGCGGGGAGCGTGGGCAGCGCGGCGGGGTGGTGTGCGGGTATAAGCGTGTGGAGTGGGCGGCGGGGGCGGCGCCCCCTGCCGCTCCTCCCGCGAGCTTCCCGTCCTTCCTCCTCCAGGCAGGACTAGGGGGCTCCTATGCCTGCCCTCAAAATATCCCTCCCACTCCTCCCGCAAGCTTCCCCTCCTGCCTCCCCCAGGCCGGCACGTATTCCTGCGTCACACACACACACACACACACACACACACACAGGCGCCCGCCCAACCACCCACCGGGTATGTCGTGCTTGAAGTAGGCCTGGATCTCATCCACCACCCGCCGCTCCTGCACATTCGCGCAAGAGGCGGGCAGGGAGGCGCAGGGGCGTGCAGGGCAGGTGGGGCCAAATTGGGAGCGGGTGAGCCCCCTGGCCCTGGGCAGGACGCTAACATTCGGCTCAGGCCGCTCCGCTGCCAACCACAACCGCTGCCACCAACAGCCGTAACCGCCCACGCGCCTACACCCCCCACCCCCCACCCCCCACCCCCAGCCAGCGCCTCACCGTCTCCCCCGTGACCAGGTTGAAGGCGGCGCCCTTGCGGCCAAACCGCCCGCTCCGCCCGATGCGATGCAGATACGTCTCAAAGGCCGGGGTGCGCAGGTCCCGCTCCACGGGCACATCAAAGTTGATGACCAGCGTGACCTGCGGTACGGGCGGTACATCACGGCGGTACGGTCGGGGACGTGCTGCGGTACGCCTTTCGTGTGTACGGCGTGGGGAATGTGGAGGGGCAGGCGCAGGAGCAGGAGCCCTGGGGCTGCCCGGTGGCGTGCGACCAGGCAGGGCGCGGCGCCTGCAGAGCCCGGCTCGGGGCCTAGCGCTGGGCAGCAGCACAACACCACAACTGCCCTGCTCCCTGCTGCCCCGGCCATGCCTGCGTGACGTCAAAGCCGCGGGACAGGACGTCTGTTGAGATCAGGATCTTGGTGGTGCCATCCCTGCATGGGGGGGCAGGAACAAGGCAGGCAATGATCAATTGTGAGAGTAGGAGATAGCAGGGCGGCGGCGGCCCCCAGCAGGGCGGCAGGCAGCCTGGGAGAGGAGCGCAGGCGAAGGCCGGGGTTGGCAGGTCACGTCCCCAGGGCCCGCCAGCCGCACGCGGCATGGTGCCAGCCACGCCGCACCCGCACATCCGCGGCGCCGACCTTGTACCTCCACCCCGTACCGCCAGCCCACGCCACACCTGAACTCCTTCACCACCTTGTCCCGCGCCTGCCTGTCCATGCCGCCCTCGATGCTGGTGCACCTGTGCCCCTCCTGCTCCATCTGCTCGACAGGGGGAGGAAGAGAGGGGGGGGGGGGGGTTGAGGAAGGGAGAGGAAGCGTCAGGTGGGTGTGTATCATGAGATTGGGATGTGTGGCTGGGTGGAGGAGGGAGGGTGGGGAGGTGAGCGGGCGCCCAAGCTGAAAGCGCCGCCCAGCAAAACCCCGGGTGCAGGGCTCCGGCGGCTGCACTGCAGCAGCCGCGGCGACCCTGGCGCCGCCTCTGATTGCAGGCAGGCAGGCAGGCAGCCAGCATTGGCGACGCGGTTTAGGGTAAGCTCACCACAGCGTGCAGCGAGCGGGCCGTCTCGCGGGTCCGCACAAAGATGATGGTCTGGCCCAGCTTCTCGCACTGCGGGCGGGCGGCAGGCGGCGGGGCGGGGGGGGGGGAGGCACACGAGGTGTCGCACTGGCACGGCATCGAGCCAGGAAGGCATCGAGGTGCGGCAAAAGGGAAGCCATCTGGCGGCTCGTGCAGCGTGCCAGGTGCAGTGCACCACCACAACAGCAGCAGTGGACCATTTGATACCAGCACTACGGTACCGCTCCTGCTCACCAGGGGGAAGATCATGTCCTTGAGCACCTTGACCTTGTCGGAGCCGTGAGGGCACAGCTGCAGGGCGGCGGCAGGATGCAGGAGGGGCGGAAGGTTAGAGGTGTGCATGTGCGGGAACGGCTGCGGGCATCCTGTGTGGTGCGGCCAGGAGCAGGGGAGGTGAGATGCCCAGGAAGGGGCATTTGCATGGGGGTACAGGTGTGGCGCAGCGCAGAGATGGGGGCTGCAGCTTGAGGGCAGGCCCGGCAGCTGCCGGGCAGCTGCTGCAGGCAGGCACCCACCACGCGGTACTGCTTGATCACATCCAGGCTCAACTCCTCCTTGGGCACGAAAACCTGCGGCAGCGCACGTGAGGGCAGTACCATGAGCAACACGCGAGTTGCTCACGGGCAGAAAAGGCAGGTGCCCCTGCGCCGCGATGACCGTGCGGCCACCACTCGCGTGCCCTCTGCACACCCACGCAGCCCCACCTGGTTTGCGTCGGGCACGATCTTCTGGGCGAAGCGCTTGACACGCTCGTTGAATGTTGCGCTGAACAGCAGGATCTGCGGGGAGGTGGTGGTGTGGTGGTATGTGGTGTGATGAGGGTGCCCGCGTGCATGCACGGCCGCGTGTGCGCGTTTGTGTGGCACAAGGGGAGCAGGCGCCGATCCAGCGCAGGCAACAGCGAGCGCACAGGGATCGCTAGTCCAGTCCCCAAGCCCCCAAGCCCACCACACCCTGCAGCCACACCAGGTGCCACACCATGCACGCCCAGCCAAGCGCACCTGTATCTGCGGGTTGGCGGCCCGCAGCTGCTTGATCATGCGCACGGTGTCGTCGGCAAAGCCGTCTTGCTGCAGGGGAGGGGTGGGGTGGGGTGCGGTGGGTACGTGGGTACGTGGGTGTGGGGGGCAGCCAGGGCAGGCGAGCACCTCGTCAACCTCGGCAAGCGTGCGGCCTCGCTGCCTGACCGCCAGCTTCCAGCCGCTACACAGCTGGAGGCCCTCGCCACCTGTGCCACCCCACACATGGTGCCTGCTGCCCGAACCCCCACCCACTCACCTCGCCCACACTACACACCACCCAGGGGGCCTGCATACCCCCGCCACTACCTTGAGCACCCACTCCTCCCACCATCCATACCCACACTGTGCAGGGGAGCCCCAAGCAGCAAGGGCCCGCAGGCCGCACCTTGAGCATCTCGTCTGCCTCGTCAAATACCAGGATTGCGATGGAGCGCACATCCAGCACCCGCTTCTGCATCCAGTCGCGCAGCTTGCCGTGGGTGCCGATGATGACCTGGCGTGTGTGTGGGGGGGAGGGGGCCGGGGACAGGTGGGGGGTAGGTGAGGTAGGGGAGGGGTGCAATGGGGAGCCATGGCAGGAAGGGGAGTGTGGCAACGGGAGGCTGTGGATGCGGGGAGAAGACCGACAGGTACCCACTCCCCCCCC